GGGCTATAAAGGTGTATGGAGCCTTTGGGTCACTCCTGACCCCAATAACCCCAAAACCCAGAGCACCCCCAAGGCCAATCTCTAAACGACGGCGACTTCTTTGCAAGGCCTGGACCAGCCCCTGGCGCGCGAGCAGTTTTCCGACGGCAAGGAGGAATGGAGAAGTTGTTTTTTTTTTTGTTTTTTTCTGGTGTCTGGTTTAGGGCTTAGTTCAGGGGTTTCGACTGTTCTGGTGTTTAGGGTTTCTGGTTCAGGGGTTTAGGGCAGTCTAGAGTTTAGGATTTTTCGATCAGTAGAGGTTAAGGCGTCAGGCATGTCAGGTTTATGATGGGCAATGTAAGGTTTTGTGGTAACCCTAAACCTTTATAGAATCCGCAATACAGGGGCCTAAGCAATTACCTATACTACTTTGGGGTTTCCAAAAAAACAGAGGAAAAATCGGCCCCAAAACCTTGTTCTAATTACTAAGGCCCCTGAATTAAACCTTTAAAGAATCCGAAAAGAACCGAGACTGCGGCTGCTCCTCGAAACCCTTGAAGATCCCTTACATCGGAACCCTCAAACATCCCTGGTATAAAAATCTTTAGAGTTCCCTTACAGTAGAGGCTTTCTAGAGCGCTGAAGATCTCTTCCTGTTGTCCCTAAACCCTTAAACCCCTAAACCCCACACCCTAAACCCTAACCCTAAACCCTAAACCCTAAACCCTGACAAAAACTTAAACCCTAACCCTAAAACCCCCGCCACCAAGGTTGCAGCAGCGGCAGCGGGCCCAAGTTCTGCTGCTCTCCCAGCTGCGCCAGGAGGTTCGGTTCGGGCTCTGGGTTTGCTTGGAGGTTCGGGGCTTTGGGGTGTTGGGGAGGTTTAGGGGTTAAGAGGGTTAGGGGATTCGGGGGTTTGGGGGTTTCAGGGGTTTAGGGCTATAGGGTTTAGGGGTTTGGGGGATTAGGGGTTTTTGGGGGTTTGGGGAGGTTTAGGGGATTATGGATTTGGGGGTTTCAGGGGTTTGGGGTTTAGGGTCTAGGGGTGCGAGTGTCAACCTTGCATCCCTCCCTTGTGGCCACACGGGGATTTGCCCAAGGGCTGGCAAGGCTTGTGCTTTGCAAGCTCTACGATACATGGGAGTTTCCGAAAACATGAGGTACCGGATGTTGGGGGCTCCTATAAGGGATCTATAGGGTTTAGGGTTTAGGAGTTTCCGAAAGTCAGGGGTTCCTTATTTTGGGTCCTTATGATATGGATCCTACTATTTCGGGCACTCTATTAGTAGGCTCCCCCAGTTTCGGTAACCGCCATATAGAAGCCTTATGTGAATCCTTTACTCTAGAAGCCCGAAGCATCCGAAGCACGATCTTTTTTCGCAAGGCGGGACCCTAAACCTCTAAACCCCTAAACCCTAAAGCCCTATAAACCCCTAAACCCTGAAACACTATATCCCTAAACCCCTAAACCCCTGTAAACCCCTGAACCTTAAACCCCCGAACCCTGAACCTATACCCCCTGACCCAGAGAGCCCAATACCCCTTAATTAAGGAATTTACCGTAAGTCTTAATCATCATACTAAGTCCCCAATGATTTAAGGCATATTCCTCGATTGAGGGGTATTGGGCTCTCTGGGAAACCCTAAGCCTCGAAGGCGGCCGGAGGTCCCGCGGCCCTGGGCCTAAGGCCAATGCAGCAGCCCTCCCTAAGGCAGACGCAGGCGCTCGAAGGGTGTCTTTGGAGGTTTTGAGGGAGGTTTAGGGTTCAGGGTTTAGGGTTTAATTAGAGGGTTTAGGGCTTGCAAAGGGTGAACTGTTTACTGGCAGGGTTAGGGTACCAGGGTTTTTGGCGAGTTGTTGAAGGGTTATGGCATGGGTTTCGTTGGAGACTGAGAGTGCAGGGATTGGTGGCGCGTTTCGAACAGTTCTACCTACAGATTTTGCTGGAGGGTTTAGAATTTTTTCGTTTGCATTGAAATTAAGGTAGAAGCCAGAAAGTTGAAATATGATTATCCTAACCCCTCTATGGTAAATTATAGGGTATCCTACCATGAGAAACCATATTCCAACTTTTTGGAGTTTCCTATAAGGCTTCTGCAAGGGTTCCGCAGCTTTCTCTTGGAGGGTGTGGTCAGATCTTGAGCTGGTTTTGTAATTCAGAGTTGAGCGCTTCAGGCTTTAGCCTGCAAGGGGTACACCCTAAGGGTCCATGTACTCATATAGTATATACATTGGCCTTAATGTAGTTCCTATATCGGTACATTGGGGCCCATGTATCTCTATATGGGTACATGGACCCTTAGGGTCTGTGAGGATTAAGATGATAGGCATTAGGGAGGGGTTGGCGGCTTTATTCCCCAAACAGCGTGGCAGCACCATGGGGTTCTTACGTTCAGTGCAGAGTAGAAAAGAAAACTTGGTTTCCCGGTGCTGTGGCATGGGAATCTAGATTTTTGAGGCGATCTCCAACCACGGGGAGTCATGAAGCCGTATGGGGGTTATGCGGAGATCCTCCGTTCGTGGTGGATTCATGCTGCGTTTTGTGGCTTTGGATTTTAACTTCGGGTTGCAGAGTCCGGGGCGCAGTGCTCCTGAGGATTTCATCAGATCCGAAACTTTAGCCCACCCGTCAACTGCTGGACGCACCGGCTCCCCTCCGACCGATTTGTCTACGATGCCCTGCGGAGCATCGTGCCGATCGATCGTGTCGACTGTGTGATGATATGGATCCCCGGTTTGCGGACACGAAGCTGACTGATCTCGACAACCCAGAACCTCCAAACCCCTTAATTAAGCAATATACCCTAAATCATATTGGGGACCCGATTATAAGTTAAGATATATTCCTTAAGTAAGGGGGTTTTGGAGGCTCTGAGAGCACAAAGCAATTATTAAACGATTTCATGCGCACCGACATCGCTGGAGCTGCACGGGACAGCCGGGCCCTCCGCATGGTCAGGGGTGAGTTCAGAACTCTGTTGACACCCGTTACATGCCCGTACGGTTGATGATATAAATCCTGCATTACCTTAAGGACCCTAAACTATGGGACTTATGGTATATTTCTGATTATGGGTCATGCAGGATTTATATCATCAACCGTACTTCCCTTTTCAAGACGAAGCATCCTGACTGAACCCAAAGAAATGAAATCGTAGCTCCAGAATGCTAAACTCTTCTCTCCCTTATGCACTTATATTTGGGGGTTTCCGAAAATAGGGGACCCTAATATAGCACCCTAAATAGTAGGATCCTCATTATAAGGACCCCCAAATAAGGTACACCTAATTTTCGGAAACTCCCTTATTTTCACACCTCCCAGAAATCTAAACACTAAGGTAAAAGCCAGAAAGTTGGAATATGATTATCCTAACCCTTCTATGGTAAATTATAGGGTATCCTACCATGAAACCATATTCCAACTTTCTGGAGTTCCCTGTAAACCCTCTAGACCCCGAGAAGCTGCATCTCGAGTCTCTCTTTTAGGGCGCCTACTTTTTAAGATAAGAGATCCTAACCATAAGACTAGGTATCCTAAAAAGGGGGGTAGGGTATGAGCCTCCAGGTAGACCTAAACGGCAGTTTGGGCTAGCCGAAACCCTGCAAGGTCTTCAAGAACCCTCTGCACGCCAGCTCCTCGTTGTTTGGCTTTTCGGGGGCAGAGTGTCGGTTGCGTTCTGGGCTTTGGATAGAGATATGGGGGTTTCCGAAAACAAGGGACCAAAAAGTAGTACCCTAAATAGTGGGATCCTTATCATAAGGACCGCAAAATAAGGTAACCGTATTTCCGGAAACTCCCATATGCAGCGGTCTTGAAGCCTAAAGTCACAACGAGCTTGTGCTGGTGGAGCCGCAGTTACACTCGTAGTTTGCTTCCTTACGTGCCTACTCACCTGTTCTACGTCTTGAAGGTTTTCCATGTGCCCAAAGTCGGATTGGGCTGGGGGATTATGGTTTGCGTGGTCTTTGCGGGGATTTAGGGGTGGCAGAGTTAGGGTGTAAGGTACTGGGCCAACTCCGACGGGTGACAGGCAGCGGTTGTGGTGTCAGGCTGTTAACACCGTCCTAAGGGTGGTCATTCGGCGTGTTGGGGGTTTGGGCTTGAAGGTTAGGTCTAGAGTCCAGAAGGGTTGTCACGACGATAGGGAGCCTCTAGTATAGAGCCTCACCAACACTGCAAGAGCCAAGGTCTTATCCGCTTCCGCTCACGCACAGAGACCACAAAAGCCCAGTACCAAGCCCGAAATCCCAGAATTCATTGAAGCATTAGTCATCCAATTCTGTACACTTCCCTCTTAGAACCTCCAAGAAGTTTTGATTTATGCCCTTAGTACCTAGGTCGGCCCCCATCTTGACCCCCAAACACCCCGATTGCAGAACCCTTCCAAGAACCGTGCCTATGCAAACCTAAATCCCAAAGCCCTCAACCCGAAAGCCTAAACCGTAAGCCCTAACCCCCCTCATCTCCGATCTCTGCCGCAGCTCAGAGGATCTGAAGATGTGTTGGACCCTTTCGGTTTGATGTTCGGATTCAGGGTTTGGGGCGTTGAGAACCTAGTTGTCCGGTGGACGACAGCTCAAACCCTACACCTTAAACCCTGAACCTTAAACCCTAAGCCCTGTAGGCATTAAGCCCTAAACCTTGAACACTTACACCCACACCCTCAACCATAAACCCTGAACCTCAGAGCTTATAAACCCCAAGAAGGCTACCATAATAACTAAGAGCCGCATCGCCTTCATCCCCGAGCTGCAGACTTTCTAGTCTTTGTGTGTCCGACATCGTCCAAGAAATCTCTTGTTAACAAAACCTGCGGAGAGTGGAGAATATATGGGGCTTTAAAGGTTTGTGTTGAGGGTGCGGAGGGTTTAGCTCTAGACGCTGCGTTAGTTAAGGAATATGCCTTAAGCCACGTTAGGCATCCTACTGCACATTAAGGTACATTCCCTAGTTAAGGGACATTGGATTTTTGGGGTGTTCTAGGCCCGCAGCTTTTGAAGGCCGTGAGCCTAGGAAGCAATGAAAGATGAAATTGCACCTGAGCTTGAGCCATTGGCAGAGGTGGAGGCTCACATGGGCCTACAGTAAGCACCATAAAGGGATCTATGAGGGTTCCTTTAAAGGGAACTTTAGGTTTAGGGTTTAGGGGTTTAGGGTCTAGAGAACTACAGTAAACTCCATAAAGTTGGAAACCGGATTATGGCCAAATAGTGCTGGGATTCCCTTAAACACTACTCTTAAGGATTGAGGCTATTGAGTTTCCAACTTTTGGGCTTCTACTGTTTTCAACAAAGACCCAGAGTAGGCCCTTATTCACTGTTTTAGGGTTTAGGTTCCCTTATAACCCCCCATTAAGCCAAAAAGGGCACCCCCTCTTATTCCTAGGTTACTCTTAGGCTTAGATAATTGCAAATACATACAAACGGCGGTTCCTTATAATAAAGATGGTATAATATACCCCGAAACCCTATTCTAATTATTACGGCCCCTGAATTGTTTGCCGGATGAGTGTGGCAAGCTTCTGGGCTCCGGGGTGCAGGAAGTGTGGGTTTAAGGGTGGCAGCGTTTTGCGGTCTAGATAGCGTTTAAGGGTTTCGGCGCTTGGAGTTTAGGGTGTTTTGCGCACGGTTTGTTGTCGGTGAGGCTGTGTCTCAGTTTGTCTTTCGGGTGTAACAGAGGCACCTGGTTAAGAAACCTCTGGTAGTTGAAGGAGAAGTCAAGCAGATCAGAAACACAACAAGAAGAGAGATGATGCAGGAACCTGATTAAGAAACCCTGGGCCTAGACCCCCAAAATAGTAGGGTTCATTTTCAGGAACCCTAATAAAGGCCCAAGGTTTCTTAATCAGGTTCCTACATTACCTTAAACCCTCAACTCCTAAACCCCGAACCCCTAAACCCCTAAACCCTAAACCCCTAAACCCCTAAACGCTAAACCCTACACGCTAAATACAGATGTCAGCATCCACGGGGCCTAGAACAACAGCAACAAAGCGAAACTGACACAGGGTTTAGGGTTTAGGGCACAACAATTCCTCTCTAGAGGGCCCCCTCAGGCATAGACAGATCGGCCAAGGGTTGCTTTCAAGGTTCCTTTCAGGGGGTTTCTGCTAAGGAACTAGAATTTTGGGCCCTGTCGGTTCTGCAAAAGGGATACGTCTGGAATGTTCTGTGACAGAAACCGTGGCCTCCGGGTCAGGATTGGGCAGGGCTTTGAGGGTGTTTAGGGCCTGAGGCTTTCATTCCACAAGCACTTCAATAAGGCGATGCTAGCCCTACCTGGACCCTAAGGAGCCTACCTTTTTAGGGCTTCCTAATATGATTTCTTTATATAAGTCCTTAAAAAGGTATATAGGTTATTTGGGGTTAAGGTAAGCCCTAAACGTCTAAACCCAAACCCAAATCATCAATGTTTAGTCATGCCAGCACAGAACTTGAAGACTTCCACAACCTGCTTCCTCGAGTATCCCGCGTAGCTGCTTTCTTGAATCGAAAGTGGTTACGTTATCCAATAGCAGGTTTTGCTAAGAACAGTAATGTTAGCCACAACAGATCAAAGATCATGGCTACAACTGCTATCGAAGAGCAAGATACCGAGTACACGAAACGCAACGGGCGCCACGAGGTCGCACCGACACCCCAAAAGCGCGGATGGCCACGCGCCTGGCGGCAACTCGTCTCGAGAGTTTGGCTAGTTAGCAGTACTATCGTTACTATACCCCCCCTTTTCCCCACTCTCTCTCACTCTCACTCTCACTCTCACTCACTTACTCACTCACTCACTCATTCACACACACTCTCTCTCTATCTATGATACATATATATATATATATACATATATAAATATATATGTATATTGCGAAAACAACTCCTAAGCAGTAAGGCCCCTACATTACTGATACTGCTTCCAAGGTTTGTTGATAAGGTTTGGTGTATACCGGGTTTAATCCCTCAACCCTCGACCCTCAACCCTAAACCCCTAGACCCTAAACCGGTTTTGGGGGCGCAACCGCTGCCTCAGGCTATAGCTTGTTGCATACCTATAGTCTCCATTGTGGTTCCTTTTAACTAGATTATAGGATCCTTACCATAAAACTTGTTAACCAAAAAAGGCACTACAATGGAGATTATAGGTAGGGCTTGGAGACAGTAGCCTACCAGACAGGGATTTGTGAGCTTCGATGTTTGCTCCCTATAAGTTCTAATTGCCCACCAAGAGCTTCAGAATCCTACGTTCATGGGAACGCTTCGTCCAAAAGCGTGCCTGTAAGACGTCTGTGGTTTCGTGCTCTCGTGCATGATACTCCCTAAACCCGAAACCCTCGACCCTAAACCCTAAACCCTTAACGACCCTAAACTGAGGATTCTATTTTCCGTTGGAGGTCAGTTTCCTGGTGTGGGGTCTTCAGAGTTAGTTTTGGACAGAGTGTAATATAGGGGCCTTAATAATTAGAATGGGGCTAGGGTTCCTTTAAAGGGCTCTACAAGGGATTTATAGTAGGGTTCTATAATATAGGGGCCTTAATAATTAGAATGGGGCTAGGGTTCCTTTAAAGGGCTCTACAAGGGACCTACAGTAGGGTTCTATAATATATGGGCCTTAATAATTAGAATGGGATTCTTTTAAAGGGCTCTACAAAGGATCTATACTAGGGTTCTATAATATAGGGGCCTGAAAAATTAGAATGGTGTTTTGGGGCCGATTATACTACATTTATTATGAGGAACCCCCGAAACAGTATAGGTAACTCTCAAAGCCCCTATATTGGGGTTTAGAGTTCGGTTTAGTTTGGGGGGTTTGGGACACTGGAACCCTTAAGAGCCTACATCTGGAATCCTACATCTGAAATGGTCTGCATTATGATTTCCTCGTACATGTCCTTGAACAGGGATGTATAAGTAGGGTCCCGAAACCGAACACCGACCTCTCATACCTTGAGGTCGATAAGGATCCTTAGTGCTTAATAAGGAATATCCCTTGATCAGGAGATTTTGAAAGACCCTGTGCCCGGTAGGGTTTGGGGGTGGGGCTTCGGGTTTAGGGGTATGGGTTCATAATTTGATTTTCAGGTTTCGGCACTTGACCTGTCGGGGCAGCCGGGTGTGTTACTTGTTGCCCTCATCCGGTTGTGGGATGCTGCACTGCTTGTGGGTGATTTGCCGAAGCCTCCCGAACTTGAACAGCAAGTCACGCCCAAGGCTGTTGGCACTCCCGCCTCTTTTCGCGTTAGCGCTGCTTGTGCTGCCACGGCACCCTCGATCGCAAGATCATGCAAACTTGGGGGGGGGTGCTAAAGGGTTGCACTTGCCTTAGATAGTGAACGGTGGAACTTTCTTAAATTTTTTGGCCTTATATATTAGCTCTATCTTAGAAAGTTTGAACTTTTCGGGGCCCGGTTGTTGAAGAAGAGAGTTGCTGAGAGAACCAGGACATGAGTTCAATGAAACAACGGCGGAAGGCAGAGAATCCTTCTGCCCCCAGGGATGGCCAGGGCATGTCGTTGTAAGGCCACATAAATACCCACAAGAAGAGTTCTAGAGTTGTGGTAGGCTCAGGACCGAGGGGGGCTGGTTGCGGTTGAAGGGTTTCCTCTTCAAGATTGAAGCCCAGAGCCTCCAAAACCCCCTTAATTAAGGAATATACCTTAAATTCTGATAGGATCCCTAATATGAGTTTAAGGTATATTCCTTAATTAAGGGGGTTTTGGAGGCTCTGGGAGGTTGAGGGTGCGGTTTTGCGGGTTTGGCGGTTCACCGGTGAGGGTTTGATTCGCATCCAGATTTCAGGTTTCCAGCCCGTGGGTTTCGAGCCCACCCTGCGCAACTCTCAAGGGCTGGGCATCGGGCATCGATTTGGGGGTCGGGATTCAGGGTCTTAAGGTTTCGGGTTTAGGGTTAGGCATAGCTTTCCTGCAGCTCCCCGGCATGATCTTTGAATTGGGAAGCCTAGGCGATTAAAGCGCCGAGGAAGGTATAGGGACATAGGATTCAACGGAAGGTTCATCTTGTGGCCCCAGTATGAGCCTGTCTGTTAGTTATATTGACAGTAGGTCGGTTCCAGGATACTGCTGGGCAACCCTAACCGAAATCACTGAAACCCTAAAGAACCGCCGAAACCCTAAACCTTTAACCCGAAACCGCCGAAACCCTAAACCTTATACCCGAAACCGCTGAAACCCTAAAGCTTAAACCCGAAACCGCCGAAACTCTAAACCCGAAACCCGCAACCGCCGGAACCACTGAAACCGAAACTTGGAACCGTAAACCCGACGGAGCCTGGCACCTGAGACATCGACCCGACAACCCTAGGCTCCCCTTTGAATTCTGTGATAGGGACCCTTATTGGGGGACCGGGGGTAGGGGGGATGTGGGCAGGGGACTAGACAGTTAAGTGCTAATTGTAGGTACTGAGACCCCCTACCCCCCTCCCCCTCCCAATAAGGGTCCCCTTGTTTCCTCCCTACGGTTTATTTACCTCGGACTTTAGTACTCACGGGCCTTCTGCGGCCTGGCAGGCTGGAAGACCTTTACCCGCGGCAGCCAGCAGCCACACTGCAGGACTGCGACCTAAGGGGAATGGACCCAGGTCCAAATCGCAAGCCCTGAACCCCTTAAACACCTTGTGAACGGGGGAACTTAAAACTTTTTGGCCTTATATATTAGCTCTCTCTTAGAAAGTTTGAACTTTTTTGGGCCCGGTTGTTGAAGAAGAGAGACACTGAACCCATCTGATCCCCATTTGCATCCAAATCCGAGACTGAGCAATTTGCCCTGTACCCGTGAATCCTTAAAGTCTTGCATTTCCCTGTTACATGTCTTCTACATCTCCTTCGGAGTGCCTGAACCTGCTAGAAACTGCGTTTAGAGTTCGCATATCTTCGCAGTGTAGACAACACGAACCCCAGAAGGAGGACATTTCACCCTCGCCCTAAATGCAAAGTCTGCAAAGTAATCATCGTAGATCTTCGTTTAGGTGGCCTCATGTCGGCATCGCTTTTTGGGAGTCCACAGGTTTGAAAGATCCTGATATGTTGGGGTTTCTACTGTAGGAACCCGATTAAGAAACCTTGGGCCTTTATTAGGGCTCCTTATAAATTTGAATCCTGCTATGTTGGTGTTATTGGCCCAGGGTGAGGTTTTTAGATAGGATCCCCTGTCTACTGAAACTCCCAAACGGATCAGGGGGTGCAATTTGCAGCAAGCAGCCCTGAGTCCACGCTTTGCAGACTTGGTAGTTTGGGTGTCTGGGTATACAGTAAGCCCCATAAAATTGGAAACCGGATTAAGGCCGCATAGTGCTGGGATTCCCTACACATTACTTTTCAGGATTGAGGCTATTGGGTTTCCAACTTTTTGGCTTCTACTGTAAGGGGAGCCAGACGTGTTCTTCCCTACCCCACACTTGCTGTAGTCGCTGCTTTTGTTTCTGGGTGCAGGGCTCTTCTCCCACAAGCGGTTTGCCCTTGCATCTACCTTAACCTACCAAAACCTACTTTTTTGTATGGTCCCTATAAATTCCATATTAGGGTTTATAATAAGAACCTACATCAACGTAGAGTTTGGTAGGTGTTCGCGACATTGTTTAAGGAGTTCATGCTCAGAACCACTTTTCAACCCCAAACTGCTCAGCTTGTTGCAGAAGTCTCATACTACTTGGAGGATCGTGGGACTTAGTAAGTAAGGTTATGAGAACCCTAATGGGGGTTATAAGTATAGTTACGCTAGTAATAACCGTAGTTACTAAGTCCCATGATCCTTTAAGTACCCTTCTTTGAAGCCCTGAATTTCCGAGGACCTGATCAGTGCCGCTGCAGCACGTTCTCGGCAGCCGGGGTCATTGGCTGCAAGGTGCCCCCGTCATATGACTAAGGTTGCTATGTCGAATATAGGGGCTTTAAAGATACATCAAAATTGCCTATGCTATTTTGGGGGGATCCTTGTTTTGGTTCTCGTGGCCCCAAAACCTTATTCTAAATATTAAGGCCCCTATTTTATAGAACCCTACTCTACGCTCACGATTCACGGCTTAGGCTCTAGGGTTCGTGCTTTAGAAGAACCTGGGCTGGCTGCATGTGTTGGGTGTCTGGCAGGGCCCTTGCCGCAGCGAGCAAGCTGCCAGCACCGCGCTTTACCGCGGAGTCGCAAATCCAGACAATCTTGGACAAGAAGAAGGACTGTCCGATGTTGTTGGTACTATGTAATGTTACGGCTGCTTTTTAGTAGCTTTTTGCTATGACGGTAATTGAGTCTGATTTCGATAATATGACTAGACTGTCCGGTGTTGCCATGCCCAGAGAGCTCCGTATCATACCAGTATCCCTTGTTTCAGAAACAAAATGCAGCCACCTTAATTTCACAAACGCATGATATTGAATCGAAGGGTAGAACTCTATGGTGACAGATGCTGTAGGCTGCTATCTTTAAACTTAAAACCCTGTGATTAAAACTGCTTGAACCCTAAACCTTAAATTTAAACCCTAAAGCGTCAATTTCATACCCCTAAGCCGAAAACCAAACAACCCATGACGAGCCCGAGGCTTTGATCCCGGGTGACGTCCAAATCAGTACCTGATTTCCGAGATATGGTTGATGATATAAATCCTGCATGACCCATAATAAGGAATACCATAACTCCCATAGTTTAGGACCCTTGAGGTAATGCAGGACGTATATATCATCAACAGTAGCGATCCAATAAGGTCCATATACACTACTAGTATGGAGTTAGGTCCCAAAAACCATGCTGGGGATGGTCTTTTGAGGAGCGAACCAACCGACGATGGGATGAGGACCGCAAAATGCAGAGATTTGGGCTTTCGGGATTCAGGATTCGGGTTGAGGCTTTAAGGGTTTAAAACCCTAAACCCTAAACCCTAAACCCTAAACCCTTTAGGGTTTAGGGATAGGGGCTCTAGGGCTGCAGGTGTAGATGTAAGGTTGTTGGGGTCTTCGGGGTTTAGGGCTAAGAGTGTAGTTTTCTATAAGGGTTGCTGTAAGGGCTATTCTGGGGGGGGGTTCAGTGTAGGGGCCTTAATGCTTACCTATACTATTTTAAGGGTTTCCTCAGTATAACTATAGTATAATAGGCCCCAAAACCTTTTTCTAGTTAGTAAGGCGTCCCTGTATTCAGGATTTGGGGCGTAGATTTAGGGTTTTGGGGGCTTCAGGGTTTAGGGCTAAGGGTTTTAAGTTAAAGCTCTGAATAACAGGGATAGGAGTCCTGTGGGATTCAAGACCCATACGTTTGAAGCTTCCAGATACTGTGTAAGATGTCAGGCGTGAAGTGGATGCTTTAGCATGCTGCCGGCATCAAAGCGGGCAACATCTGAAGGCAACCGAACACTCTGATGCCAGCAGCAAATCCTAAACCCCAACCTTTCACCGGTAGGGAGGGGAGCGCGAGCCGGCAAAGCGACAGCGCGCCTCCAAGAGCGAGCAGCCCTAAACCCAGGCCTAAACATTACCTAGAGGCTCATACCCTACCCCTTTTTTAGGATACCTAGTTTATGGTTGGGACCTGCTATCTTAAAAAGTAGGCGCCCCAAAAAATGGGGTAGGGTATCAGCCTCTAGGTATACACCCTGAACTAAACCGACCGGGGAGGCCGAAAAGTTTGACACCGGAACCTTCATCGGCCCCAAGTTTTGCAAGCCGCTGTTAAAGACACACCTCATAAGGTTCTTGTGATATGTGGTACTATCGGGGCCTTAATATTTAAAACATTTAGAACAGGGTTTTTGGGATCCATTAAACTATCGAAGGAACCCCAAAATAATAGTTAGGCCCCTAGAGTACGTATAGCAAGAATAAGAAGCAACTGCCCTATGCCCTCCCCGCCCAGCCGAACAGTTGAGGTCCAAGTACCCAATTATCATACTTAAAGGTTCGTGGGACTTAGGAACGGGGATTATTACCTGGGTAATTATACGAAGAACCACAATGAGGTTCCTTATAACCTTACTTACTAAGTCCCATGATCCTCCAAGTGTAACCTTCAAAATTGTAACTTACATAACTACTATCCTAAAGCCGAGTAACTAATGATTGTGTCCTTTGGACCCTTAGGGGAACATCCTCAACCCCCAAACCCTCCGTCCCAACACTAAAGCCCAAATGCCCTCAGCATTAGCAGGGTTTGGTTGCTTATCTCTTCCTAGTAGTAGATTAGGTAACCTTTAACCTTTTTGGGTAGTATAGTCCCTTTATAATCACTATAAAACCAAAAAGGTCAACAATTAGTCCCCCATGGTACCCGACAAGTAGGTCTTATTGTTTAGGGTTTCAGCTGTCAGGGTTTACGGGTTTAGGATGTAGGATCTTCACTGCCTACTTGGAGGATCATGGGCGTACCCCGGAGCTCAGGATAGGGTGTGGCAGGAAGATGTGGCTGGCGTTAATCCTCCGCAGTACGGGCACCGTCGATACATCCTCAGCGCGAACTGGCTGCCGGTCCCTGAAGTGTACAACTTGGCAGACGAGAACGCCGTCCAGATTGCCCGAGACATGGGACATAACGGACTCGTTGCTCTGCTTAAGTCCCATGATCCTATAGGTATAGGTCTTTGACTTGGGGGTTTGACAGAACAGACCATCAAGTAGAGAAGGCCGCAGACGTGTAAGTATGGTGATGATATGCCCAGGTAGCCCGCATTATGATTCTGTTCAAAGACCGCTAATTTTGAGTCTCCGATATTCACGCTTCAGAGTCTTGCGTGTTGGCTTGTCGCATGTCACGTCCTACCCAGCTGGAACGGTATGGCCTTTGGGCCCAAACGCCATGAACCTACAAGTCCTTAGATATAGATTCCTATAAGGGTAGGTTTCTCAATCAGGGGTCCCCCCAAAAAAGAGCACGTCGCCCGTATGAGAAGGACCCTACAGGGCGACCCGAATTTAGAGACCCACACATAAGGAGACCCGTGAAGCCGTCCGAAAGCCGTCAGAGAAAATGGAAGAGGGGTCTGCAGGAAGAAGCTCAAACCAAAGGCAAGTTGCACTCTCCAGTTGCATTCTGCGTCCTACACAGGCCAGTTAGAATCGCTAAGGAACATCCTTTTAAAGATCCTGAAGGAATCCTCATACAGCCCTTTAGAACACTGGAAGAACGTTCATAGACGCCCTCATGGCACCGTTACAGAACGCCATTGGCGCAGGCCACTTGTGGTGTCAGTGCCTCCATTGCTGCCGAAAAGCTGGTGCTCTCAGGTGAGACGAGATGGGTTTCAGCTAATATGGGGGCCTAAATCATACCAATACTTTATTGGCTACAAGCCCGAAGGCGGGAACAGGTCGAATTTTGCGGGTCTTGAAATCCTTCAAAGAATCCTCGTAGTCCCCAAACTCTCTACCCTATAGCTTAGAAGCTGCCCCCACCCTGTAATAGTAACAATAAGGATTATATTCGGGCCCTATTATATTCCTATTAATTTTACCACTATTACAGGGTGGGGGCCCCTTCTAAGGGATCCCGTCTTCCACGGTCATGGTTTCTGCCGCGAGGGGGTACCGAGGGTTGTGGGCATGTAAAGTTTTAGTGTCAGGTTTGGACGAGGGTTGGTTGAAGTTTAGGATGTTGGGTTTAGGGGTTTAGGGCGTAGGGTTTAGGGAAGTTTAGGATTATATAGTGGAGGTTAAATTCAACCCAGAGCCTCCAAAACCCCTTAATTAAGGAGAAAGAGTGGTACGCTCGACTGTGTGGACATCAAGCATTGAGAAAAGTCGAAAATGTTGTCTGCACCGTGCCACATTCCTCTGGCCTGGTCAAGACATTCCAACTGCTGCATGTGGCTTTGAAGCCCGAGCAAGCGACAGGCCATTACGTTTGGAGTTCGGGTGAGACTTACAAAGGTCTCGGTGATGTGTTGCGTCACCAGTGCATTCTGCAGAGAGTACTCACCTTTTTGACAGGCGCGACTGCTCGTGGGCAGCGACAAGCTGTTCTGCATCGCCTTCTGCAAATCGGAGGTGACCTTTCTGAGGAGATGAAGCAGTACGTCATGCGCTTCAGACGAAGTGAGGACAAGGATCTAGAAGCTCTGAGCGACAACCCAGCTCGAGTCGTAGGAATCTTCATGTCTGTGACAGTGCAAGAGAAAGAGCTCGTCCGACAGCCTGTTTGGGCTTTCGCGACGTGGACAGCTCCACTTTCTAATGACAAGGAAGAAGCTCTGAAAATCGAGTTGAACTCGTTACCAATGAGCAATTGAACCAAATTGTTCTTCTGGGACCAAAGCGTGGCTGTGTCAGCCACCAAAAACTTTCCTTAAAATCATATAAGGGATCCTACTATAATTTAAGGTATATTCCTTAATTAAGGGGTTTTGGAGGCTCTGGGTAGTGGAGGTTAAATTCAAGAAGGCTACTATCTGAGTGCTCGGACCTGCGGCTAAACCGCTGTAGCAATCCTCCCCTGAACCCCTCAACCGAAAGCCCTAAACTTTACAAACTTTAGAAGAAAAGCCCTGAACCTCCAAACCCGAGGACCCTAAAAAGCCCTCAGCCTCTAAGACCGAAGACCCTAAAAAGGCCACCGCATCCGCTGCCCAGAGCCTCAAAAACCCCTTAATTAGGGAATATTCCTTAAATCATATTAAAGATCCTACTATAATTTAAGGTATATTGCTTAATTAAGGGATATTGGAGTCTCTGGGTACGAGGCCTGCAGATCGAGAGCTCCATCTACCATTGCGCGCCCGACAAGCCCACGAGGAGGGGCCGCAGAGTCTAGGATTTACGTCCTTTAGGCTTAGATAGTGAACAGGGGAACGTTAAACTTTTTTTTGGCTTTAAATATTAGCTCTATAGTAGAAAGTTTGAACTTTTTTGGGCCCGGTTGTTGAAGAAGAGAGTAGGGTTTACCTGACCCTAAAGAACCTACCTTGTTAGGGTTACGTACTATGATTTCCTTACATAAGTATTCAAACATTAAGGTATTCGGGGTTAAGTAAGGTAGGGGATATAATACAATACAGTATCGTATAGCTTAGGATTTACATTGTAATGAGGGATTTCAATATGGCGCCGGTTGGGTGCGTATTGGGCCGTCAGTATGATAGGGGACCCGAAAGGAACAGTAGCGCCAAGCGGGATTGATTAGAGTTTCAGGGTCATGGTTCAGGGATTCAGGAATCCTTAGGGGTGTAGGGGGAGGGGGGGTAGGGGGCCTTAAGGCCCAAAATAAGGACTAATACGGCCTATTTAAGGAAATATAGTCCCCTACACCCCTCCACCCTACACCCCTAAGGATCCCTATGATGATTCAGGGACCTCAACTTCACCAGTCGCAGTTTTTTGTTTTCGTTATCCTGGCCCCAAATCCCAACATAGCAGCTTGAATCCCGAAGAAGCTGCATGGTCACTCGAACTTCGTAGGGTTAAGTGGGCTTTAAACTGAAAGTTTCAGGCGGATCCATGGCGAGGGTGTGAGCTTTCATGTGAACGCTCGATCTTGGGCGCTTCTGAGAGCGCGGTGTTCAGCATTCAATATTTCAGGGCTGCAGGCTGAAAAGTGACAGCAGCCGAAAACACACACAGATCTCAAACACAAAAGAAACTCCCATGGTTTAGGGTTTAGGGTTTATAAAGTTTAGGGTTTAGGGTTCACAGATCTCAAACACAAAAGAAACTCCCATGCGGTTCAACGTCACGTGCATGCTCAACCCCCTGCATCCCTGCAAGGACAGCTTGTGCCACTGACATTACCGGCGTGTTTGCCTCCATATCAGCGGCAGGCAGCTATTTGGCGGCCACCCGGCCGCTTGCGGAGAAGAGGTGTACAGTAAACCCCATAAAGTTGGAAACCGGATTCAGGCCACATAGTGCTGGGTTCCCTTTACATTACTCTTAAGGATTGAGGCTATGGGGTTTCCAACTTTTTGGCTTCTACTCTAGGAACCTGTTTAAGAACTTTCTGGTGATTACATGTCCAGGCATGTGCTAGGGTTGAACTCAGAGACTAGCCTTGAATGTTCCAGAATCCTCATAGAAGCTGCAATAAATAGAACCTGTATAGACTGTTTTTAGAGGGCCGTGACAGAACTCATTAAGAAGCCGTACCTGTAAGAAAAGCCGTATAGAACCCCCTATGCAATAGCAAAAGGCAGGGACTTTCTGAATTCGGACCGAAGTCTAGGCTTTGAAAGCCAGGCTACTGGAAATGTAGCCCGGAAAGTACTTAGAGGGTCCAGGTTTTGGCATTTAGGGTTGTGGGCATAGCCCATATCTTAAATGGACTTTTAGATGCGGACGTTTAAATCAAGGGGAGTAGTCCTACTTTGGTCTACCCCGATGTTATTCAGCATGGCCCTGGGCGTAACCTTAGCAAAACTTGTCTTATAATCCCTGAGAAACAGCTAAAATTATGGTTTTTGCTAGGGAAGTTCAGTCTGGTACTGGTGTCCAGCCTTTTCGTATAGAGTACCTAGAATACCTAGGGGCTCATACCCTACCTTTTTTTTTAGGAAACCTAGTTTTATGGTTAGGATCTGCTATCTTGAAAAGTAGGCGCCCTAAAAATGGGGTCGGGTATGAGCCTTTAGGTCGGTAGGCTCACGGCCTTCGAAAGCTGCAGGCCTAGAACACCCAGAGACTCCGATGTCCCTTAACTAGGGAATGTACCTCAATTTATAGTAGGATGCTTAACGTGACTTAAGGTGTATGCCAAAATTGCGGGATATTGGAGTCCCCTACACCCTAAACTCTATAGATCCCTTTATCGGAACCTTTAAAGGAGCCCTTATAGACCCGATTTCGGGGTAAGATTTATTGTGGGATGCCTAGTGGTATAGCGCCACCCAGTCAGAGTAACTGATGGGAGACACATGCGGAGACACATGGGGGTTCCGAGAATTCGGAGTACACTTTAGAAGGGATCTATGAGGGTTCCTTTAAGGGTTCCGATAAGGGATCTATAGGGTTTAGGGCTTAGGAGTTTCCGAAAATTAGGGGTACAATTTTAAAGGGATCTATGAGGGTTCCTTTAAGGGTTCCGATAAAGGATCTATAGGGTTTGGGTTTAATTAGGAGCTTCCGAGAATTCGGGGCAACTTATTTTGGGATCCTTGTTTGAAGGCAAATAGCTCTTCATCACAAGAAATGCCAAACCCTAAACCCTAAAAGTGCTAAGTCGTTTCGGCCCTAAGCCTTCAATCCCAAGTGTACCTACAGTCTCCATTGTAGTTCCTCTTATATCAAAGAGGAAAAGGAGGGACCCTTAATGGGGACCCCTACCCTGTAATAGGCTATATAATAGCTACATTAAGGGCATATACCTTGTGGTCCGTATTAAGGGTCCCTCCTTTTACCCTTGGATTTTAGTTTAGCCAGCTTTATGGTTAGGATCCTATAAAATAGCTTTTGGTTAACCAAAAAAACAAACTACAATCTAGACTATAGGTATGCCCTAGTCTCGACTCCTAAGCTCCACTGCGGAGGGGATAGGGGTTAAAAAAAAATTAGATAAGGATCAAAAAACATTAAATAAGAATCAAAAAAAAATAAACAAGGATCAAAAAAAATTAAACGGGTATCCGCGAAAGGAAGGCGAAAAAGGAAGGACAGAAAGACAGAGAGAGAGAGAGAGAAGGAAGGAAAGAAATAAAGAACGAAAGAAAGAAAGAAAGGAAGGAAGAAAGAAGAAAGAAAGAACGAAAGAAAGAACGAAACAAAGAAATAAAGAAATAACGAAAGAAAGAAAGAACAAAATAAAGAAAGAAATAAAGAAAGGAAGAAAGAAAGCCATGCAAGAAATAGAGAAATAAGAAAATAAAGAAAGCTATAAGTAAAGAAAGAAAACAAAAATAGAGAACTAAGTAAATAAAGAAAGCTATAAGGAAAGAAAAAAGAAAACACAAGGAAAGAACCAAAGAGAGTTAGAAACAAAAACAAAACAAACAATGAAGAAATAACCAAATAACAAAAACAGAGAAATAAAGAAAGACGGAAGGCCATACATTAATAAAGAAAAAACAGAAATAGTCGTAGGAAAATCGTGTTTTCCACAGGAAAAACCAAGCAAATCCTTAGGAAACGAAAGAAAATCACTAGGAAAGCAGTGTTTTCCATTGGAAAAATTCAAGAATTGCTGTATCTAAAAAGCAAGAAAGAAAGACAGAAAGAAAGAAAGAACGAGAGAGAGAACGAAAGAACGAAAGCAAAAACAAGAGGAAGAACGAAAGCAAGAACTAAAGAACGAAACTTAAGGAAATACCACGGAATCCGTAGAAAAATCGTGTTTTCCCGAGCAAAAACCAAGCAAATCCTCAGGAAATGAAAACGAATCCGTATGAAAACAGTGTTTCCCCTGGGAAAAATTCAAAAATTGCTGTATCTAAAGAGGACGAAAGAAAGGAAAACAGAAAGAAAGAAAGATAGAACGAGAGAGAGAACGAAAGAACGAAAGTAAAAACGAAAGAAAGAACGAAAGCAAGAACGAACCAAAGAAAGAACGAAGTAAATCAAACCAGAAAGAAAGCAAGAAAGAAAGGAAGGGAGTATGAGATGAACAAAGAAAGAACAACAGAAAGAAAGAAAAGAAATGAACGAGCGAAAGAAAGAAAGAAGTCCAGAATAAAAAAGCAAAGTTGGAAAAGACGAAAGAGAAAGAATATGAAAGAATCACAGAAACAAAGATACAAGCAACAGGATACTACATAGTCCAATCGAATTTACCATAATATCGTAATGTACCGTAACATAATATAACATAATGTAACCTAATGTTATAAAATATACTACATATTATGTTGTAAATATACACGCTGTATTGTACTATGTTACAATGTACTACACTATAAACTAAGATGTTGTTTTGTTCTATGTCATCTTCTGTTATATTGCATTGTTGTATTTTTAGTATGCTATTATATGCTATAAGAAGCAAGGTTCTGTTATGTCAGAAAATGTCACACCATTTTTGTGTTGTCGAACCATCTTATGTCGTTCTTCTGGGTTAGAATGCTAACGGAAGAAGAGACACGAACAGGCACGGAAGAACAAAACACCCGCCGCCGCGCTTTTCGAGACGTGCAAGCTTGATTCAAAGAGTGTTGTCGAAGCCCATCATGTGAACGTTGTCTCTGCAAATGGGGGGGGCTGCGCCCCCCCCAACCCCCCCGCTGTTTTAAGCCGTGCAGGGTTGCTTTGAAGCATATGCCTTTAATTGAAACCCAGCAAATGAGGGCGTCTCCGCCCTTGTAGATACATCCTGAACCAGAATCGCCAAATGAGGGGCGTGTTTAAGACAGATGATGAAGCGGAACACCAGCAACAGCTACAACAGGAAATCCGTCCTAAATGTGAAATTGTAAGGAAAATTTGATCTTCCCGAGGAACAACCATATGTTGTCCTTCTGAAAACCTGAAGAAATGACACGAACGCCATAGGTAATAGGAAAATATGCTTTTCCCTGCGAAAAATTCAAGGACAACTTAGGGAAATACCACGGAATCCGCAGGAATATCGTGTTTTCCAGAGGAAAAACCAAACAGATCCTAAGGAAACAAAAGAAAATCCATAGGAAAAAACATTGTTTTCCCTTGGAAAAATTTAGGAATTGCTGTATTTTAAGTGATTTAATTTCTTTTTGATCCTTATTTTATTTTTTTTTTGATGCCTCTGCCCCAGGAAATGCTGTATTTTGAGTGATTTATTTTTTTTTGATCCTTATTTTAATTTTTTTTTGATCTTTCCATTAATTTTTTTTGATCCTTATTTAATTTTTTTTTGATCCCTCACCCCCTGCGGAGCTCTCCCGGAAACCTGCAACCTTTCAAGAACCCGCCTTGGTAGCTGAGTGGATACACTTCACACTTTTTGGGATAATGCCGTTGATGGACAAAATCATGCATTACTGATTATAAGGAATATGCCATAGTTCCCATAGTTCAGAGTCCTTATAGGGTCATGCAGGATTTTGTCCATCAGCAGTATGACCCACTAAAAAACTGAAAGTGTACACTTTTGGGGGCTTATGAACTCAGCAACTAGGACCCTTTTTACAAATACACCTAACAGAAGAAGCCTGTAACCCTAAGCTGAGTAGAGGGTGCTGCTTTGGGTTTTGTTGAGGCTGGATAAATTAAGGGAGTTTTCGAAGAGTGACAAAGAGCAAAGGGTTTTTTAAAGCTCGCGATACGGAGGGCTTGCTTCGCAATACCACGCGGAAGCTCTTTTGGGGGGACTTCTTTGGTTTGGTTTGATGTAAAGGATATTGAAGTCACTGGGTTAGTGTCTGGGGAATTCGAGGTCATCGTGGGGAATCCTCAGGATTTCTTTTCTGTTCTATTACAATCGTTAGGAATAGCTTAAGATATTCCTTTTAGTGTGGGTCCGATCTTTTCTCAGCCTGACATTTCCGACGCCGACGACTTCAAATACCAGGCCCTTGACCGTCTGCCATAAGCCAAAAAAACCTGAACCATACACCCCATGCCCCAACCCCTTTAACTCTAAACATGTCCATGATTGCGCGGAGAATCCAAGCAGCTTGTCTTACCCTAACCAAACCTTAAACCCCTAAACCCTAAACCCCTAAAGCCCAAACCCCTAAACCCTAAACCCCTAAACCCTAAACCGGCCTCCCTGCTGAGGCGGTGTCACATGCCTGTCCGAAGGCCACGGGTGGAAGATCTAGCCTAAGTACCCTAATTGGGGTTATAAGTATAGTTACCCTAATCATAACCCTAGTTACTAAGTCCCATGATCCTTTTAACCCTAAACCCCCATAGATCCCTTATAGAGCCTTTATAGATCCCTTTAAGGAACCCTTCACGTTACTAAGTCCCATGTTCCTTTAAGCAGATTAAAGAGGGGTGTTTGCGCGTGTGAGCGTTGTCTGGAGCTCGGCGTGGTGGACGGGGCAACTCCGTGACAAGTAGACATTTAATTGGGTTTGGGCCGCTTAGGATAGTAGGTCTGCGGGCGGCGAGTTTTTGAAAAGAATGAGTACTAGGCACTACCTGGACCCCAAAAGTATGCAGAATAATGACTTTTTATAGGCTTTGGGCCATTATTTTACCTACTTTGGGGGGTCTAGGTATGACCCGTAGCGAATTTGCACGACCAGGGGAGGCCCTGCTTGCTGTGCCAAGACTGTCCTCAGCCCTAAACCATAGCATAGAAAGAAGCGAGCAGAGCCACAGCCAGCCCAAGTAAAAAAACGCAGTCCGTTCTAGTTGTGGAGTTAGGGTTCGGACGACCCTTGTTGCTTGATGTTGATGAGTTGATGTCCAGGGCTTCCGGGCGATAGCATGGACCGCATGTTTGCACTTTGCACAGATTGAAAGCAAGTACAAAAAGAGTATTCGAAGACTGTCTTGCCTTGAGTGTGGAAGCTTTGTTGCCCGAATACTTAGCCGACTTAGCCAAACAAACCTGAAGTAGAGAGCCCAAGCCATATTGAGAACCCGAAAGACCCTGAAGCCTCAAATGCTCATCCTCAACCCTAAACCCTAAACCCCTGAACCCCTCAACCCCTTAAACTCTAAACCCCTGAACCCCTCAACCCCTTAAACTCTAAACCCCTCAACCCCTCAACTCCTTAAACCCTAAACCCTCTAACATAGCCTATAAACCCTAAAAACCCTAAACCCCTAAACCCGCCTCAAATGCTCATCGCAAGACCTTCGCAGCCGAAGTGAAGCCGGGAGTCCCAGCCCTCAACCGTTGGGCTCAAAAGAAAGTCTCCGAAAGCTTAGGGGTACACTTTAGAGTGATCTTTAAGGGTTCCTTTACAGCTTCCTTTAAGGGCTCCGATAAAGGATCTATAGAGTTCAGGGCTTAGGAGTTTCCGAAAAAAAGGGGTACCTTATGTTTGGGCTCCTTACAATAAGGATCCTACTCTTCAAGGCACCCTCTGGGGGTTTCCTAATTTTCGGAAACTCCCAGATCTGAAAAAGCCGAACCTTAAGCACGATCCGTGCATTACTAGCCTAACCCCTCGAAAACAGCATCGTTAGTCGAAAGAGGATGGAACCAGCAAAGCCGAGTGTGCTTCGGACATCCTCGATATTCTCTACGGCGTTGCTCGATGCGGCAACCAGAATTCCTCATAAACGGCTCTTGAAGTGGGGATCTTATAGAGGGCTGTATAGAAGGCCTAGCTGTGAAGGCGCTACAGGTGTTCTGTCGGACTTGCGAGTAAGAGCCGTATAAGGTTTCGGGCGGTTTGGGCATCTAAGGTAAAGGGTTGTAGGCTTGGGGATTGAAAGTTTCCGTTGTATGCGACAGGGGTGCTTTCATTCTTGGTATCCCCGAAAGGAAGCCCAAGTATGCACTCAGCGCCTTACCTGAGCATCGCTGTTTTGGTCCTAAACACTCTCACCAAACACAAGTGCAAAACCCTGCGCATGATAGAACCCGAATTGTTGAGTCTACTTTTTCATACACAATCATCGCGTGTCGTATCGAGTTTTTTAAACTCCAAACCGGAAGCCCTCGTGAATCTTGAGCCCGACCTAACCGCCCAATCGCAGCATGCACAGGGCCATGGTGTGTCTAGTATTAAAGGGAACTCCAGAAAGTTGGAATATGGATGAATGGTAGGATCCGCTACAATTTACCTTAAAGAGGGTTTTTCTTCAGTCAAGACCCAAGCCCTGAAATGGCCTCAGCCTATATGGGTTTAGGGCTTAGGATGTAGACGTAGTGAGGTGTGCGGTGCTTTCGGCATGTGACGTGGGGCGAAGGGTTGCAAGGTTCCCCATCGCGATTTCCTCAACAGTCCACTGCCAGGCAATGTTACTCAGCTACAGCTCTGCCCCTACGATGGCCTGAAGGCCTTAAAGTCCAAAAGCCTTCACCTATGTGGTTGTCAAAATTAAGGTCCCTTTTTGGGGACCCTAAATAATAGGTGCCGTACTATATTAGGGACCCAACACTGGAGCATTATTTCGACAACCACCACCTATGTTGCAGAGATTTCCGCTCAAGACCCATTGCTTAACTCGCAACCTGCCCGGCTCTGAGTCCGGATATCCTGAATCCTTTCCTGGACCCTAAGGAACCTACCTTTTCAGGGTTCCCTAATATGGGTTCTTTATATAAGTCTTTAAAAGGGTAGGTTGCTTGGGGTTAAGGTTTACTTGAAGCCAACTTCCAACTATGGGCACCTTAGTGGTTCGAATATGGCTTCGTTATCTTATAGTAGGAACCATTAATGGGGAAGTCTCGCTACATGCTTCTCAGACTTCAGCATGATGCCGCCAATTCGGATTCACGATCAACGTTGCCGCAAGCGGTTGAAATCGAGGTCACATCTGCACGAGCAGCCAGCATTCCCTAGAACCACCAACGCACCTTCCATTGTTTACAAATGCTGCAGCAGTCCCCAACAGCCTTGCAAAACTGTTCCATAATCCTCGAAAAGCCACCCTAAACCCTGAGCCTTTCACAATGTCGGCCGTCTTTTGGTTCCTCGTGGCAGCCCATCTGGCAGCTGGAGCCAACGTGCAAGGCGGCTTAGGTTTACTGTCGGGTTCTTAGTAGGGAATGGGGGAATGGATCCCAGCAGTAGTCCCTATATGATCCCCAATAAAAGTGTCTCCATAATCCATTCCCCCATTCCCTACGAAGAACCACACAGCCTAGCTTTAAGATGCGGCAAGTTCCCTAAACTTGGCCCTAAACCCGAAAACTCCCAACCATAAACCACTAAGCCCAAAACCCCTAACCTGCTTCGGTTTAAAATTTGTGTTATATTCCGTTAAAAAGGTAAGCCAAAACATAAAACTGCAACCATAAACCCCCAAACATTCCTGAAGCCATAAGCCTAAACCCGAAAGCATTCAACACCCTCAAACCCCTCTGCAGTCCTGTGTAGAAATCAACAGCAAGCCCTAAACCTTTAAGGAACTGCTCAGCCCTTCAAGGAGCCCCAATGCCCTTAAAGGAACCCTTAAGCCTTTAAAGGAGCCCTCAAGTTGGAGGCAACTGGACCGTGCTGGCGCCATCTGCGTCCTGGTCTCCTCGTGGCCGTGCCGGCTCGGCCGTGCTGCGGGCCGAGGTGCCCTTTGGTTTAGGGTTTTGATCGTCTTTAGGATTAGGGCTTAGGGCTTAGGTTGGTTGCCGTTTCTCTGTTTCTCAATTGTGACAGTTGTTTGCTCCAGCTGTTTCTCTTAGGATGTTAGGGTTTTAAACACAGGGTTTGTTTGGTCGAGTTAGGTGTCTTAGCAGGATCTTGGGTCTCAGGGGTTTGGGTTTGTCTTGGGACGGTTTAGGGGTTCACGACGGTTTCGTTCCTTAGATTCGTTTGCTATAAAGCAATGCCCTAAACCCCAAACGCTTATGGTACCCTGATAGGACCCCTTAAAGGAACCCTGACAGGAACCCTTAAAGGAGATTCGTCGGTTGCTTTGGGCTGCAAGGTGCACACCACAGGGCAGCCAGGCGGCATCGAAAGGAGGAAGCCCAAAAGTTCTAAACCTTAGCTTAACCCTGAAAAACCTACCTTTTTAGGGTTCCTGATTATGACTTCTTTGTATAAGTCCTAAAAAATATAGGTTCTTCGGGGTTAAGGTACACCCATATCCTCAACCCGAAGCCTTCTCTCATAAATCCCCTAGCCCTACGGTTGATGATATAGATCCTGCATTACCTTAAGGACCCTAAACTATGAGAATTATGACATATTCCTTATTCTGAGTCATGCAGGGTTTATATCATCAACCGTGGATAGTTAAGCCCCCCAGCCCTGATAAATCCCTAACCCCAGGAGCACCTGAGCTTTCTCCTTAGAGACCTAGATGGTTGGACTGCGCTCGGGTTGTATGCCATAGTTGTGGCGGAGAAACCACAGGACTAGTGTAGAAGCCCGAAAAGTTGAGGCTACCTATAGTCTCCATTCTAGTTCCCTTTTTTTGGCTTACCAGGTTTATGGTTTGGATCTTGCAATATAGTCTTTTGTTAACCAGAAAAGGAAATACCAAGGAGACTATAGGTAACGCCCCAAAACGGTTAACCTTGTCCTAATCATTAAATCAGGTCCCTGGATTAGATCCTTCCTCGTCACAGCCCCAAGATGAACCCAGAGCCTCCAAAACCCCTTACTTAAGGAATATATCTTAAAATATAATAGGATCCCTAATATGATTTTAAGGTATATTCCTTAATTAAGGGATTTTGGAGGAGGAGCCTGCCTTTCGAACACATGGGGAGCATAAAACCGCTCTAAGCCTAAACTTTATCCTATGACTGTCCTGGCTGTGGAAGCCTCTCTAGAGCTGCAACTGCTGCAGCTGGAGAAAAGGAGTTCAAAAAAATCAAAACTGAATCCCTGACACCTTCCAAAGCCTTAAAGTTGCAAAACCCAAAACCCCGTAAGCCCTGAACGCCCCCGAAACATCCTGAAACCTTCCAAACCGCGAAAACCCCAAACCCTGCAAACCTTGAACCCCTAAAGCCCTCCGAAAGCTTCTAGAATCCTAACACCCGTCTACAGCCTACCCATCCCTATACCAGCCCAACTAGCCCTAAAACCCGTGCATTCTGCAGGGCTTCATCCTCGGTGGTTACGCGCCTTCGGCTTCAGCAGACTTCGGGCTTGGGTGGAATCGTTGAGGGCTTTCGGGTAGTTTGGGGGTCTACTATTTGCTTAAGCACCCCCAAAAAATAAAAAATATTTTCCTTATGGGGGTAATATAGGGATTATTATTTTTATTTTTTGGTGGTTTCTTAAGCAAATAGTAGGGGTTTGGGGGGGCGTTAGGGTTCAGGTGGGTAGAGCATTGGGGATCTGGGGTCTTGCGGGGATTAGGGATTTTCGAGTTTTCGTGTTGTTCATGTTCGTGTGAGTGAGTTTGTGGTTAAGCTTTGGGCTGTTAGGCTCTTTGAGGGTAAACCAGTGGCTTCTGAAGGGGTCACAGCTCCTGGGTACTTTTCCAGCATCTACGTCTGCGATTCAGGCAGAACAAAGAGAGCGGAGTCTCATCATTGCCAACCCCGAGCCCTGAAAGCTTGGTCTTTAAACCCTATCTAGAGACCCTTGTTTTAGGGCGCGTACTTTTTAAGATAGCATATGCTAAAAATAGAACTAGGTATCCCAAAGAAGGGGTAGGGTATGAGCTTCTAGGTAAACCCCAAACTCCACTCTGAACCCCATTAGTGTAAACTCGCTTGTGCTGTTCCTGGCCACTCCAGGCAGGCATGCCTCCGTGCGTAGGTCCGGAAGGAAATCCCCAAACGACTGAAATACGACACCTGTCGCAGGTGGGACTCTGAACTCGTACTTACTAAGTAAGGGTTTAGGGTTTAGGGTTTACTTGGAGGATCATGGGACTTAGTAAGTATAAGGGTATAAGTACCCTAATTGGGGGTATATGTCGTTATATGTCTAATTAACCCTAGCCCTAGTGACTAAGGCCCATGATCCTTTAAGTAGGGTTTAGGGTTATAGAAGGCTGAGTATTTATCCAAGATTCCTGTAACGGTGAACCCTGAACCCTTGTCCCTACATACCTGATAAGCCTCGCGCCTCATGATCTTCAATGTCTTGAACCGTCCCAGCCTTCGGGAATTCAATGCAGACAGCTTCGAGCAACCCGAGGACGGCAACCCAGACCACTCGGGAGGATCTAGAAAGTAGATCCCATAATTTGGGACTCGATGCTACTAAGGGTACTTTATAGGAGCCCATCTACTTTTGGATCCTCCCGAGGACGGCAAGCGGCACCTCAACGACGTTTGGTCGTCTGCAGATGGGAAGACCTGGACGGATCAGCCTCGGGGTTGGGGCTTTCGGGGAAAATGTGGGGTTAAGTAGGGATTGCGATATCGGAAACCCAGAGACCCCAATGTCACTTAATTGAGGAATATGCCATAAATTATTCCAAAATTCCTGATATGATTTAAAGTTATATTCCTTCATTAAGTGATAGTCGAGTCTTTGGGAATGGGGTCATAGGGTTTTGCTTGGGCTTTGGCGCCCCTAAACCCTAAACCCTAAGCCCTAAACCCTAAACCCTAACTCTCACACCCTAACCCCTAAACCCGAAACCCTAACCCCTAAACCCGAAACCCTTTTACGAAAACCAGGTACTTGACAAGTAAGTATCTGTTGCCTGCCCAAATGGGCTTTTGAGACGCTTCATGCTGATCGAAAAGGGGCCCTTAAAAAAAAAAAAACCGAAACCCTTACCCTTAAACCCTAACCCTTAACCCCTATAACCCTCAAAGGGCCAGGGGCTGATGTCGGCCCCTCTGATCTCCATGTCGGGGTCGGGTGATGCGCCTCAGAGACGGGGAGAACTTACTGGGTTGTCCTTTGGGATCTTTATTAATTTCCCCGGCTATTTTGTAGAGAACCATAATAGTAAATAAGGCTTAAAGGACAACTCAGCTTATCATCTAGGCCAAATGGAAGGCCTCAGCAGTTCAAGATGTGCAAGAGATGTCAGATCCCTAACTTACTAATACGGGCCGGAGGAAGCAGTCGTATTTTATTACTCCTTGGGGCGTTCGGGCGCCCTGGGACAACAAAACTGCCACAACCCCTGAGGGCTTGCGGATGTTATCGACACATTAAAACTCAAGGGTCTTTGCTTTAGGGTTTAGGGTTCGGGTTCGAATTTTCAGGACCTGAGGTGCAGGCTTTATGGGTGTTTGGGCCTAGGGTTTAGGAGCTACATCCTTGAGACTCGTGCAGCTACCCGTGCACGCAGAGAGCCCTTCATTGTGGTCTCGGAATTAGTGTTCTAGGATGCCCCGTAGTACCCTTATTCCCTTTTTGTAGTCCTTGGTTCCTTATAAAGTTACCCAATACCAAAAAGAGAGGCCTTTTTATTCTTAGGTTACTGGGTATCCTAGTGCTAAAGTAGAGGCCCCTATATTCTGATTCAAAGTATCTTCCTTGGTGACGGGGCTGTTAAACCCTCGTTTCAGACATGCCTATGAAAACTTCATCTATACGGCTCAGAAAGGCCTTACATACCCCTTTTAAAGGCATCCTGCTCTAATGATTCAGGCCCTTACATTTCCCAGAGACGCCAATATCCCTTAATTAACGGATATACCTTAACTTATAGTAGGGTTCCCTCATATGATTTAAGGTATATTCCTTAATTCAAGGATATTGGAGTCCCTGGGTTCCTTCGCAGGAGGCAGCTAACAGCTCACGCGGCTTGGGAAGCCAGATCTGGACACGTGGCCATTGCCCTCAAGGGCAGGCGCGGGGAAGCTTCAGGGCTACTAATTGTAAGTCTCCTCTAGGGCTTCCTGTAAGGGTTCCTTCGAGGGTTCCTTTTAAGCTGCCGTAGTTGGTGTAGCATTTAGGTTGCAGGTGTGAGCAGCAAAACAAAAACCCCGATCAGAGTACAACGGTTGGCAAAGCACAGAGCCAGGCTTCTCGTCATGGCCGGGGAGAACAGCCCTATCGGCGAGTCCGTGTTCTTCAACGACCGAACGGGGAAGCGTCGTAATTATCAGCAAAAAGTCAGATCAGTTTATGAGGATGACTGGTGGTGGCTCGCACGGCTGCTTGTTCGGTGCATGGCCATCTTGTGGCTTTAGATGGTCGGATGCTCGGATTCAGAGTCGCAGCACTTGAGCTGCAGTATGTAAGGGGCAAACTAGTTTCAAAGACCACTCATTTGTCGGAGTGAAGGGCTTAGAGGCTTAGAGTCCAGACTTTGGAAATCGTCGAGGAGTTGCTCTGGGATTGATATTTGCCCATGTTGGGCTCTGGATGTGGAAAGTATTGACCTAGTAGTAGAGTAGGTAACCTTTGACCTTTTGTGGGCAGTATAGTCCCTCTCTAATCCCTATACAACCAAAAAGGTTAACCTGTAGTTCCCCATGATACCCGACAAGTAGGTTGAGGCCTAGGGCCAGGCTTGATACTCAGGCTCGAGGGCTCGGGGCCTTAGAGCTGTCTCTACGAGGCTTATGAGCCGAATTCAGCAAGCCCTTTACTGGGTTCTTGTTCAGAAATTTAGTTCAAGTTACCATAAGAGGGATCTACAGTCTACAGTTCATGATATGGTTTCCTTCTTGTGGTATCTTGAAGTAGATCCCTTGACAAGAAGCCCGTTTAGCCGCTTCAAGCTTCAACGCTACCCCTGCCAATCCGCGCAACAGAGATTACAGACCCCAGCAGCAGCCCTGAATCCTGAACACTTGAACCTGAACAGTTTAGCCCGAAGTTTCATATGGGAGTTTCCGAAAATGAGGGGTACCTTATTTTGGGGTCCTTATAGTAAGGATCCTACTATTTAGGGCACTAGACTAGGGTCCCTTATTTTCGGAAACTCCCATATCTTGAAGCATGCAAAAACCTCGACAGACCTCTGAACACATGCAAAGACAAAGCTAGATGATATTTCACACTTAAGAGACCTTTGCAAGATTGTTACCAAACTACAGAGAATGACCTATGGACCTATTCACAGTCCACGCTGTCATCTTAATCAGAGAGAAAAGCTAGAGAGAGAGGGACAGGGAGGGAGGGAGAGAGAGAGAGAGAGCGACGAACGATTCCCAAGCCATAAGCCCTCACCGAGACCTGAGCGCAGGATGTTTGGGCGTCGCAGGACGGAGCCGCTTGGGTCCAGGCCTGGGGGACGCTGTCAAGTACGAATTTCTTGAGCTTGAGGGTCCTTGCATTGAACGGTTTAGGGTTTATTTCTTAGGGTTTAGGGTTTAGGGTGAAACCTCCTTTGTCTAATGAGTACCTACAACAGAAACTCCTACTTGGAGGATCATGGGGCTTATAAGTATAAGTATAGCAACCCTCATAATGACCCTATAGTTACTAATTCCCATGACTGAGTGGATACACTTTACACTTTTGGGGATAATATTACCCCCTATAAAACTGAAAGTGTACACTTTTTGGGGCTTATGAAATCAGCAACTGAGTAGCCCAGAGCGAGCCTTGGTTTAAAGGTTAGTTCGGTTAACGGAGTCCAGCCTTCAGGGATCAAGCGCGAAGCATAGTAGGAACCCTTGAAGAAGTGGGGTTCTTGTTAGGGATTTAAGTTACCATAATAAGGAGCCATGCTATTTACTGTAGATCCCTATTCCCCGAAAGGCTGAATTGTCTATGGCTTGGCCTGTGCAGTTGAAGATGATGTCCAAATAGAGGCCATGTCGCCACTGACTGTTGAATCAACGTTTGCGTCACTTTGAACCGTTGATATCACACTCCTGATACCTCACAACCTCTCTCCCCCAGAGCAACTACGTTTCCCGCCGATGCGTAGGTGACCGAGCATGCACCGTGGTGCGAGCCCCTTGGCAAGATACTTGGAGGATCATGGGACTTAGTAAGTAAGGTTCTAAGTACCCTGATAGGAGTGATAAGCAGTTATACGTATAGTTACCCTAATAAAAAACCCCGTTCCTAAGTCCCGTGATCCTTCAAGCAGAGGGCATCTTGCTTCATGCCTCTGGCTTTTAAGTTTGGCTTTACAGACTTCGGTCTCAGTTATATTGGTGTAGGGGGGTACGATTACCATAAGTATGTGCAAACCGAAGCTCCAAACAATGCCAACTGCAAAGAAGCCTTAATCCACCACAGGTCAAAGACCTTACCTATAGTCTCCATTGTAGTTCCTTTTCTTGGTTAACCAGTTTTATGGTTAGGATCCTATAATATAGTTTTTGATTTTGGTTAACCAAAAAACAGGAACTACAATTTAGAGTATAGGTAAGTCCTTAACCTTCAGAGTGCTATAGATGCCCTAACCCTTCCCAGCTCCCAGGCCCAAAAACCCCCAATCCCTACAAGGCCTAAACCCCAGACTCAAGGTACCCTTATAGTAACCCTCTACAGGAACCCTTGTAGTACCCTTATAGTATCTCAATAAGGACAAAGACGAGAAAACCGCAAACCCCCAGATCCAAAAAACAAAAACTTCCAGAGGCCTTCAAAGCCCTGAGCTCAGGCGCACAAGCCCTGCGGTTGCCGCCTCCGACTCAAAGGCCCGCGCTTTGTGCTCTTATGAGAAGGAGCCCAATTACCTATGTAGCGGGGTCCTGGATTTGAGTAGCAAGTATAGTCTCCTTCCATAAAAACCGCTAAAACCTAAACACGAAACCCTGAATCCTTACACCATAAACCCCAAATCCTAAAGTGGGCTGCCAGGGTTACAGCTGAATCTTGAGGTCCGATGACCGTCAGCAGACGCCCGCACATGTACTGTAAGAAGCGTTACAAGCCCTCCCATCTGTCTGTACACATCATCTGCTATTGATTGCACACTATAATGCTTATAGAAGGGTCTATATGGGCCAAAAACAGTAAGCGACTGCAGTACACAGTATCGACAACAATGCTAGAAGACTTAAACCCTGCAGCCCTAGAGCACCCAAAACACTAGAATCCTTAGCTCTAACACCCTGCATCCCCGAGCAAGAGGGTCACTTCGGTCTTCTAAGAGGGTTTTCTGCAACTTGTCAGGTCTATATTCTTGGAGGCGTCGATGCAGCACAGAAATTCCTGAACGATGTGCGGCCCGGCAATTACTGTACCTTCAAGCGCGCAACCGAGCCCCGAGCCCCAACCTAGTAGTCAAGTAGGTAACCATAAACCTTTTTGGGTAGATTAGCCCGTATATAATCCCTATATAACTATAAAGGTTAACCTTTAGTTCCCCATGATAACCCGACAAGTAGGCCAAAGCACATGATTATTCAAACTCATGTGGGTGGTTGTCAAAATTAGGTCCCTTTTTTGGGGCACCTCATATTTTGGGTACCCAAAAAGGGACCATAATTTTGACAACTACCCATGTATGTGTATATATATATATATAGTTCGTTTTTGAGGGTTATCTTATAGATTTCTAAAAGATCAACCCCCAGAAGGAACTACTATGGAGCCTTTTGGTAATTTAGCAGAATGTGCTTGGTTTAGGTCCGGTCCTGTAGACCCAAAACAGTCCAAGTACCATTATAGTAAGTACTTAGTAGGTATTCCCCCAAGTAAGTATATGCTATACTATTACTTGGACCCTTTGGTGACTAAAGGTGCGACTTCCAACGAACGAAAAAACGCATTGTGACACCGAAGATGTTTGACCGGTCCCGTTAGCACAAAAGCGCAGTGTTGCGCAAGTGCCCTTCTTGAGATCCTTATAGCCCAGAGGGTCCATGTATACTACCATTATGGAGTTAGGTCCCAAAAGACCCTCCGCATTATGGTTTTTGGGACCTATTTCCAGAATAGTAGTTTATATGGACCCTCTTGGTAGCAGCCCTTTCAGCAGTATGGTGTCCTGGTAGCCTTAGGTTCCTGGAGTGCCTTAGCATGGATTAGTTGGGCGTTAGCTGCAAGCCTTGGTTCATGCACTGGTCTAAACGCCCTCAGTGTTTTTGAATTTCGGGTTTAGGGTTTAGGACTTGCAACCGAAGCCTAAAACGTGCCGGTTGTTCAACATTGTGGTGCAAGCAGGGGAGCCTTCTCAGAGCGAGGGCTCGTAACCGCCCCAAACTCTGAAACGCCTGGAGAAGATTCCAGTCTCCATAAGACTCATGCAGTCCCTCAGGGCTATTCACACATGTATACTATGCCTGTAAGGCTTTCATCTTTAGACTCAAAGGGGCTCGTATGTAATGAGTAACTTTAGTTCGAAAAGCACGCCGCCAATTTGACACACATCACGCAGCACTTTGCCCCAAACCAGCGGACGAGGCTTCGTTTTGGGCTTCGGCCTCAATCCATGAATCCTCAACCTGGAACCCTAGAAATCCTTACTCTAAGGCTCTAAGGACTCAAGTTTTAAAGCTTTTGGGCCTAAAATATTATATAATAGGGCTTTTGGGCCATTTTGAAACTTAGGGTTAAACACTATTTCTGGGGGCTGTGAGGGTGAAGATGCCTTCGAGCCTTGCTTGCTCGAGAACCCTATCCTTAAACCAAACTGAAACCCATAAGCTTCCTTTACGGGATCCTATGGGGTTACTATAGGGGGCTTAGTAATTAGAATAGGGTTTGGGGGAGACATTATACTATTGTTATACGAATCAGGAGCCCCAGAATAGTATAGGGCCCTAAACTCCGTTGAGCCTCTTTACAGCAGCTCCTCTTGGAGAGGGAGCCTGCTGTAGGGGCCTAGAATAGTCATAGTAGACAAAGAACATCGGGACCAAAAAGGGGCGATCGTGCGTTTCAGTTCTTGAGACTCCCCTATGAGAGTTTCCGCGAGCTAGGGGCTGTGGCCTTCTAACAAGGATCCGCCTCTTTAGGGCACTACTTATCAGGGTCCCCTATTTTCGGAAAACCTCCATACCAAAGCCGAAAACCGAAAGCCTGGACCCCTAAACCCTAAACCCTGGGTATGTCTGCAATAGCCAGACTAGAGGGCGACCTAGCCACTATACCTTTTAAAAAAATCCTAAACCTTAAACCCAAAGCCCGGAAGCCTAAACCCTGAAGACCCTAAACCCTAAAACACTAAACCCTAAAACCCTTAAAACCCTAAAACCCTAGACCCTAAAAACCCTAAACCCTAAAACCCTTAAAACCTTAAAACCCTAAACCCTAAAAACCCTAAGACCCTAAAGCGCCCAGGTGGTCCTCCGAGGACGGCAAAACCTGGCAGCAGCTGACGGCCGCAGCGCCCTGGGACGGCCGGTGGGGCTTCGGAGCCGCCCTGCATGGCTACTGGACGAAGAGAAGCCTAGTATTAGAGGAGGTAATCTTTAACTTTTTTTGGGGTAGTATAGTCCCTATCTAATCCCTGTATTTGTTCGCCCTGATACCCGACAAGTAGGAAGAGAAGCCGTCGTTTCAGGGTTGAGGGTTTTGATGCAAAGGAATCAAAGACAGAAGACTTGTTTTCTTTGTTGGTGGGGTAGTGGTGAAGGTGGTATTTCTGGGTTTGGTTTTGGATTACTGGAGACTTTAAATGTATAGATCAGACCCTTAGAATTTCGGGGTTCAGGATTTAGGGTCGTTTTCCAGGACTTAAGGTTTTTGCCTGCAGCGATTGGGGGAACGGAACGGCGTAGTTCCAGGACTCAGGGTGTAAAGCTTCGTGCTCACGGGTTAACCCTAAACCCATCTAAACCCCAAACCCTAAACCCATTACCTTAAACCCTAAACCCCTAAACCCTAAACCCCAACCCTAAACCCAGTAATCCCTAAGCCAAAGGCCCCCTCAAGACTAAACCCTAAAACCCTGAAGCCCGAAACTTAGGGTTTAGGGTTTATGGTTTGTCAAAGGGGAAAAGGAGGGACCCTTAGTAAGGACTCCTAGGTATATACCCTGAATATAGCTATATACCCATTATATAGCCCATTATAGGGTAAGGGTCCCCATTAAGGGTCCCTCCTTTTCCCCTTTGAAAGGTGGCCGCCTGGTCGTCCTCGGCGGAAGCATTGACCATGGTGCAGGTGGATACAAGGTTTAGTCTTGAGGGGGCCTTTGGCTTAGGGATTAATGGGTTTAGGCTTGGGGTTTAGGGTTTAGGGGTTTAGGGGTTTAGGGGTTTAGGGTTTAGGGTTTAGGGGTTTAGGGGTTTAGGGTTTAGGGTTTAGGGTTTAGGGGTTTAGGGGTTTAGGGTAATACAGGGGTGGGAATGATTGCCAACAGTGTTCCTTCAGGCTGCCCTGTGTTATAGTTATCGTCTAAGATTGCCCAAAGCCCCTAGGACCCAGAGTAGGCCCTTATTCCCTTTTTTGAGGCTTAGGTTCCCTTATAAACCACTTTAAACCAAAAAGGGCACCCTTTTTATTCCTAGGTTACTCTTAGGTCTAGGCCCTATTAAAATTATGAAGGCCTCTCTAGTATTGGGTTTAGGGCTTCGGGTTTCGGACCTACTTGGGTTTAGGGCTTCGGGTTTCGGACCTACTGAATGAGCATCAAGGAACATAGGAGCGGCGAGCTGGATGCTAGAGGCTGTCTAAGAGCAGCGAGCCTTGTAAATCCAGATGTGCTCACCACTCTTGGAGTATTAAACTGCGTCAAGCTCCTTACCTTTGGTTAGTAAGGAATGGAAGAATGGTAGTAATACGGTTGATGATATAAATCCTGCATGACCCATTATAAGGAATATACCATAATTCCCATAGTTTAGGGCCCTGAAGGTAATGCAGGATTTATATCATCAACCGTAGTAGTTATAATTGTACCCCATTCCTCCATTCCCTACTAACCAAAGGTAAGGCCCCCAGGACTTGAAGACATTGGGTTTCCGTGCTGATGCAGGATTTTTAGGCTTCGAGCCGAGGGGCATCAATGCAGAGGTCCGAATCTACTATTTGCTTAAGAAGCCCCCAAAGAATAAAAAAAATAATCCCTATATTACCACCATAAGGAATATATTTTTTTATTTTTTGGGGGTTTCTTAAGCAAATAGTAGGAATGATGCTAACAGCAAGTATGGTTTCTGTGGTTATACCACCAGACACCCACATCTTTTAGTGCTAAGGCCACTTCATAAACACCTAACAAGCCCTAGTTTTTTCAAAACCACTGCTTAAGCCCTATGAAGGCCCTCTAAACCAGAATGTAAGCGTTGAGGTCAGCGCCCGAAAGTCAAACATGGAGCATTGGAGTTTCCAGAGTCGTCCCCCAAGAGTCCAATTGCAATCACATGGTCCACGAGAAACATTCCCACTGTCTTACGCCTCAAAAACCAACCCCCCAAACCTTAAACCCCCAAACCCTAAAAATCCTAAAATCCCTAAAACCCAAAACCCCAAAACCCTAAAAACCCTAAAATCTTTAAAACCCTAAAACCCTAAACCCTAAAACCCGAAACCCCTAAAACCCTAAACCCTGTAACACGTTCGGGGTAAGAAAACTTGAAGCCAGGGGTTCAAATACAAGGAATCGATTTCTCCAGTGAAGCTCCATACCTGGTGGTTTAGGGTTTAGGGCAGGGTTTGGGGTTCAGGGTTTTAGGGTTTAGGGTTTTAGGGTTTTTAGGCCTGTTGGGGTTTTAGGGTTTAGGGTTTAGGGCTCCTTACAGGGATTTCCAAGCGATTTATAGGGTTCTATAAGAGTTCTAGAGGGAGGATCACGGGACTTAGATAAGGTTATATGAACCATAGTTTAATTGGTGCTATAAGTAGTTACAAGTATACAGCTAAGTATGGTGACCTCAATAATAACCCTAGTTCCTAAGTCCCATGATCCTTTAAGTGCCCTGAGAGCAGGTCCTCTCAAACGGGTCGAGGGTTTAGGGCTTTGCGTTGAAGCATTATCCATGCAAGAGCCTTTCCTCGGTACTTTCTCAATCCGGTCTCCTTTACCTCCACCTATCGGTACCCATCGAACCTGAAGACCAATCACCGAGCCTCCAAAACCCCTTAATTAAGGAATCTACCTTAAATTCTAATAGGATCCCTAATATGATTTTAAGGTATATTCCTTAATTAAGGGGTTTTGGAGGCTCTGGGCACACCGCAAACCCTCAACCCTACAACTCCAGACAGAAGGTCCCGAAGAAAGGCCCAAACTCCAAGCGAATCCTAAAGCCTAGCCCTCTAGAGTAGAAGCCAGAAAGTTGGAACATCACTAGCCTCATGCCCTTAAAGAAAAGTATAGGGAATCCCAGCATGAATCATCCTAAATCTATGTTCCAACTTTCTGGGGTTCACTATAAACCCTAAACCTCGGTTCAGGCGAAATCGCGGATGTTTGGAACTCGCCAGATGGTGCGTCGCTTGGCCTCATGGGGAGGAGCTTCCAGTCGGAGTTCTTTGCTGCTTTTAGTGTTTAATGCAGGGGCCTAAATAATTACCTACACTACTTTTTGGGGGGGGTTCCTGATAGTTGTAATATATTGGGCCCCAAAAACCCTATTCTAATTATAGCAGCTCCTATACTAGGGCTTTTCGGGCTTCGAGTTTGGGGCCTTTAGTGTTTCGGGCTTTGAGGGCTTTTAGGGTTTAGCTTCCTTCTCTGGGGAGGAGGACGGTGTGGGAACCTATGTGTTTCACTTTTCTGGTCTGATACTTAACACCAACCAATAGGTTCCCACAGCGTCCTGCTCTGTTGGGTTTAGGGTGATAGGCCTACAGGATTGGGGTTTCAGGGCTATATTGGGCTATAGGGTTCAGGGCTATACGCCTACAGGGTTTAGGGTCCAGGCGAGTTCTTGGTGCAGTGGGCTTTACCATCTTATGTGGCGTTATGGTGGAACAGGGCTTTCGGGCACGTCGAAATGGGAGTTTCCGAGAATAGGGGACCCTATTATAGTACCCTAAATAGTCGGATCCTTATTATAAGGACTCCAAAACAAGGTACCCCTAGTTTTCGGAAACTCCCAAATAAGTTCTCGTTGGCTTTGGACTCGAAGGCCGTTTCACGTTGTCGCGTCCAAGCTCTAGGCCCTGCTGAAGGGACCCCAAAAAACATTCGAGCTATTAAGGGAACCCATGTCATTAAGTACCCATAGAGGGTTTTTAATAGACAAACCTTATGTTATGAAATATCCAGAGAGGGTTTATCCCTATGTTATTAAAGTATTTAAGACTTAAGCCCTAAACCCCAAACCCTAAAAGCCTCATAAACCCTATAAGCCCTATAAACCCCCTAAACCCTCAACCCTAAAAACTCTATAAACCCTATAAGCCCTAAAAACCCTATAAGCCCTATTAAAAGCCCTATAAGCCCCCTAAAAACCCTAAAAACCCTTTCAGGGTTCTTGGCGCCGAGGACCTGGGAGAAGATCAGCTCTGGCTCGGGCCGGTCCCAATGGCAGGCGAGGTCGCCACCTGGCCATCCTTAGGCTTCTGGAGTTGCCTAGGATGCCCAGTATCAGTAGTACCCTTATTCCCTTTTTGTAGTCCTAGGTTCCTTATAAAGTTACCCAATACCAAAAAGAGAGGCCTTTTATTCCTAGGCTTCTGGACCCAGAGCCTCCAAAACCCCTTAATTAAGGAATATACCTAGGGTTCCTTAAAGGGATCTATAAGGGATCTATAGGGTTTAGGGTTTAGGGGACTCCAAAACCCCTTAATAAATAAGAGGCTGTAAGGTTCTTCTGTTGCTATGTTATAGACTTCTAACAATAGCTTCTTTGCTTCTGCAAGATTTTTAGGATCTGCCACAGTTGATTTGTTAACCAATACCGCGCTTAATTCTTCAACCATTGTTTCAATTTCTTTGTAGTTCCTTAATCTGAAAAAGAATAACTGACGACTATTAACACCGAGAATTGGAGACAAAGCATTAAATTTTTGTGTGCTTGTTCTAATGTTGATTGCGTTATGTCTTCCTATCACATACAACTGATTTAGCAGATGTTAAATCTTAAGTAATTGGCTTTATAATTTTATTATAAAGCGAATTATATGACTATATATACTGACAAAATCATAGTGTCATTCTCTAATAATTATGATGGATTTAGTCACATTTTTTGGAAGTTAGAGTTTGTCCGGTATGTAATGTATGTAAAGAAACGGAAAATTTCATAAGCTTACAGAAACACAAAGAAGATCACAATATCGTATGTAGGAGATGCTTAGATAGGCAAAACGATAATAGAAAACAAACACAAAATTTTAAAAGTTTCAAAACATAATCTAAAAGTATGAGCGATGTAGATGACGCTTCGGCAGATGCCTCGCGAGGCTCTCGCGACTTTGTAAAACCAATCAAGCACATCAGCAGTCAAAAGATTTTCGAAAAGTTAGAACTCATTGAGAAAAGATTAACGAATTACTAATTAAACCTAGACCGGTTAATAAACCAATGGATAAAGATAGTGATGTGTATAAGAATAAGAGAAATGTTTATGTGAATAAAATGCATAACAAGGATATTGAGTTTCCTAAGAAGGAGACATTAGAATATTATGAGATTAAAAATTTGACGACCAAGAGAGAGCGTATTAGATAATGTCAAACCAAAACCTCGCAGAACCAAGCGGAATGGCAACACTTTATGTGTGATAATGAATGGATATACACGAATAGCATTTTACTAATAACAATTAGTAAAATTCTATAGGATAAGGGTTATAGTCTTTTGGTGATTTTTCTATTAGGGTCTTACCCCACACCTCATGTTAGGATATGGGTTATTTTATGGTTGAGGGTAGGATTTGTTTAGGTGCTTTGGGTTCTGGGTTGTGTTTCGGATTATTGTATTGTTTTGGTAGGTTGCTTCATTTCGGGATTGTTGTATTGATTGTTGGGAGGTGCTTTGTGTTTTAGTGGTTTGGAAGGTTGTTTTTGGGAGGCGGGTTAAAAAATGGGGTAAAAGCGTAGGGGGGGGTGGGGGTATATGGCATAAGATGTGGGGTTAGCCTCTGCTTGCTAAAGGAACTTCGGTCTTGCCGTGTGGCGCGATAAGCTGCTCCTTGCCGGTGGCCGAAGCTATGAAGAGTTCTCAGACTCTTCGGCATGTTTATGATTTTGATGGGGCCAGGGTGTAGCGGGTAGGATTTCTGGAGTGGGGTTTAGTAGTGCAGGTCCTAGTTTTTCTAGAAGTGGTTAAAGATTTAGGGTCGAGGGGTTAGGGCTTTTGCGGGGCAGTAGCGTTAAGGTGTAAAGGGGTTCAGGGGTGTAACGCTGACGGTTTGGGGATTAGGTGATTAGGGTGCTGGTTGGTTCCGGTTGAGCAACATGCACCCCTCATGAGTAGACCCTTGTCTCTTAATTAATTTGGATATATGCTAAACGCATGGCTGTCAAAGACAGCGGTCTCATTTATCAGAGTTTTATATTAGATTGCGTAGTGTCTCAACAACTACAAAGTGTGGTATTCGTCTTAAATGGGGAACAGTGGGGTTCAGGTACAGGTTTCTTCATGCTTTTGAAGCTGCAGCAAGTCTGTGTAGCCTAGGTTTGTTGATTCGGACCAAGTACCTCGTTTTCTTCTTACAGGCTCGCTGGATATGAGCACGCAGTTTATTTTCTGTTCAAGAGAAATTATGAGAAGGCTGGTTGCAAAGCCAGATTTTGAGTTGGACCCTGCCTGAAATATTGGGTTCTTTTCGTAAGCATGTTCGTCCTCGGTTTGGGGCTTTGGCTTCGGGACATAAGGTCAGGTTTAAGATCCAGGGCTCTTGTCGTGGGGTTTCAAGTGTCGGGTTTTTAGATTTTTGCAAGATCTCGAAAGATGGTTTTGCTACGATCCCTGTACCAGAACCCCTTTACCCTCGTGCAGGCTCCGACATATTCAGTTTAGTGGATATGTCACTCAAACAGCAATTGGGGCGAAGAGGAGCTTCCCCAAAGTGGCGTCTGGATTTAGGGTTTAGGGCAATCACATCTTCAACCCCCAAACAACCCGACAAACACCAGAGATATACCGAACGAGTCCGAGTATCTACATCTACGTTCATTTACTTACGGTTTGCGAAGCCCTGAACACGAAACCCTGCATACCTAAGTGGGAGCCAAACCCAAAGCTCAAAGGGCTTTGAAGAAGACCCATATCCCGCCATGCAGACTAGCAGATACCTGCGTCAACCGAGGATGTCTGGACTTCCTCCGACGGAACGAGTCTTGCAAGAAGCAGGTGAGACAATTCAGGACACCTGGATAAGGCGCCTTCAGGTGAAAGCCGTAACGGTTGATGATACGAATCCTGCATTACCCATAATAAGGAATGTGCCATATTTCCCATAGTTTAGGGTCCTTAAGGTAATGCAGGATTTATATCACCAACAGAAGCACCACGAAAACAGAAACCTCAAGGCAGATGAACGATTCCAGACGCCAGAAGCAGTCCCTGCGCCCAACATTACTCATCATCGCTCTGCGCTGCCATTACGGGTATTGGCGCTTTTTGTATTGTTGTGATCCTGCTATCATCATACGACGTCATTCTTGTGGTATCATGGATCAAGGGTAGTACCAGGTAGTTTTATTTGGTGCCACTGCCGTTGGCGAGCATTGTGTGGATTGTTGTATCACATGTGGCATGAATTGCCATCGAGTTCCTCTTCGTCGTTGTCGGTGTTGCTGTAGATGTTGGCTTCTTTTGCTGTTTATTCGTGCTTCTAACCAACCTTTGAAGGTTGATGGGATGTGAGAGTTTCCGAAAATAGGGGACCCTAGTATAGTACCCTAAATAGTAGGACCCTTGTCATAAGGAACCCAAAATAAGGTACCCCTAATTTTCGGAAACTCCCATGTGGGGCTGTGGTTTAGGGCTTGAGGTCGCCAGTGCTTCAGGTTGCAGGTTTAGGATTTGTGTGTGTTAGTTAGGGTTTTTCCAGCCCTGAATCTCGAACTCCTAAACTCGAGCAGCCCCAAGAATAGCCCGCCATGGATTACTGTAAAGTCGAGAAGTGTAGGGTTTAGGGTAAACCCTAACCCTAAACCCTAAACCGGAAGTGGTCCCCCATGCTTAATCCTAGCCCCTGACCCAGAGCCTCCCAAACCCCTTAATTAAGGAATATACCTTAAAATCATATTAGGGATCCTATTATAATTTAAGGTATATTCCTTAATTAAGGGGTTTTGGAGTCCCCTAAACCCTAAACCCTATAGATCCCTTATAGATCCCTTTAAGGAACCCTAGGTATATTCCTTAATTAAGGGGTTTTGGAGGCTCTGGGGACTATCCCTGAATGCTTGCCGTCCCGGCTCCCGAGCTCCCCCAAACACCTGCGCAGAAGACTTAGGGGTACTTAGAAATATTTTTTAAATCTTGGAAAAGTTCTAATCCCTAAGAAACAGCTTCAATTACGAGGGGCACTTAGAAATTATTTGTTTAAGTCTTTTGTTATTCTAATCCCTAAGAAACAGCGATGCTCATTATTTTTGCTAGGGGTCTAAGTTCAGTATAGGAGAGCCCAGGAATTGGACGCAGCTCGCCGTGTCCTCACCTTGGATTCCACGAGATAGCCTGTGGGGGGCCTAAGTCGCGACCGATTGAACCTTGTTGGGCTTCGGTGTTTAGCCCTAAGAGTTTAGTATTCTATAAGGGTTACTATAAGGGGTATTGTAGGCGTTTAGTATAGGGGCCTAAGTTACCTGTACTGTTTTGGCGGTTCCTGATTCTGGCTATAGTATGCTATACCCCCAAACCCTAATTATTCTAGTTATTCAGGCCTCTACATTAGAACCCTGGAGCGACAAGCTGCCTCAAAGAAACTACTGAAGGAGCCTTGGCAGGAGCTCTGCAAAACAACGAGAAACCCTACGAAGAACGCAAGATGGCATTTTAAATCTCTATGCAACGCTTATGATACCTTTGCCAGACCCTTATACATCCTATTCACACTGTTCAGACCCATATGTCCTTCGAATAGCATCATAAGCCCTACTTGCAGGTCCATGGGTAGTTATAAGTGGTGTTATAAGTAGGATAACATTTCTTGTAACCCATAGTAGGGGACTTACTACCCTACATCTCCTTGGTGGTTGAGTTGGTAACCTTTAACCTTTTGGGGCTAATATAATCCTACCATAATTGGAAAGGTTAACCTTTTTTGGGCTAGGATACTCAGAGGCTAAGTAACTGCCCATGAACCTCCAAAACCCTAAACCCTAATCCCGAAACCCCTAAACCTCTAAACCCCTACACCCTAAACCCGAAACCCCTAAACAGAATCCCCGGGAACCCGAAACCCCTAAACCTCTAAACCCTAAACCCGAAACCCCTAGACCTCTAAACCCCTAAACCCTAAACCTTTGGTTAGTAAGGAATGGAAGAATGGTAGTAATAGTAGTTATAATTGTACCCCATTCCTCCATTCCCTACTAACCAAAGGTAAGCTAAACCCTAAACCAAGTAGGTGCCTGCTGAGCTTTGACTCCCAGTCGGCGTGGCTTTTCGGAGGCTCTGGGAGGCGACTTGGGCTCTGGCTTGGCAATGCTGTGTGCGGTTTAGGGTTTAGGGTTTAGGGTACCATTATGGGGAATACTTCCCCAAATCATAATAATAGTTCCTAATATAGAAACCCTACATTCTACTATATAGTTACTTTGGACCCTTTGGGAATGCTGTCTGTGTGTGTGTGTGTGTGTGAAATAGACGGGCCTTCATAATTAGAATAGGGTTTTGGGGTATACTTTTCCTGTAATCATAGTAAGGATCCCCCCAATAAATAGTAGTGGTAATTATTTGGGCCCCTGTAATATGTGCGTCGGGGGTGGGGGGATTAGGATTGTCAAGGGTTGAGGTTGTGGGCTTGAGAGCTTTTGCGAGTGGTTCAGGGTCAGGGTTTGTGCTTTAAAGGTGAGGGTTAGGGCCCAGCACCCTAAGCTTTGATATGTACTAGGATCTCCTGTCAAACAGTGTCTTCTGTTGCACAGGGTCAGTTGTCTTAGCTTTGGTTAGGGGGAATGGGGTACAATTATCACTACTATTACTACCGTTCTTCCATTCTTTACTAACCAAAGGTAAGTTGTTGGATAGGAGCTTCTCTTGGACAAGGTCTTCAGTCAGACCAGAATCCGGTTCGAAACCCTCAGCTCGAGCCCCTGAACCCTAAACCCTACCTCAACCCTGACGAACCTACCTTTTTAGGGTTCCTTATTATGATTTCCTTGTATAAGTCCCTGGAGAGGTAGGTTCTTCAGTATTCAGGGTTGAGGTAGGGTTTAAGAATTCTGATTTCAACAAGGCTTGGCTCGGAATGGCTTGGCTTGGTAAACGTCTGCCATGAATGAACCTTTCAATCCGACGTCAAGACCTGACCCTGCAAACCCCTAAATCTTAAACTGCTGTTCAATCGCAAAAAGCCCGAGGCATGTCCAGGACTACTACAACGACGTCTGGGAGTTGCATGAGGCCTTTCTCCCGGAGCCGGGAGTCACACCAGAAGTTCTAGCAAGTAATAGAAAGGGCTTGAGGGGGTCGTTTGTAGTTGTATTGAGGCTTCTACTTGGAGGATCATGGGACGTAGTAATAAGTACTCTAGCTGGGGTTATAAGTAGCTATAAGTATAATTTCCACAATAGTAGCCCTAGTTACTAAGTTCCCATGATCCTTCAAGTATATTCCATAGTAGATGTCCGAGGCTTCGGTTTCAGGGTTTGAGTGGTTTAGGGTTTAGGTGCTTCGATGTGAAGGCTTCGGGCCTGCAGGGCGTGCAGTTTCTGGGTTTTGGCAGGGTTGATAACTGATCCCCAAGCCCTGAGCCGTAAAGCCCGAACCTCGAACCGTTGACCGTTTAGGGTTTAGGGTTTAGGGGTTTAGGGTTTAGGGTTTAGGGTTTAGGGGTTCTGGGTTTAGGGTCTAGGGGTTTAGGGTTTAGGGGGTTTAGGGTTTAGGGTTTGTGATCTATTGGATTTCATTCTTGCTCGAAGCTCGAGACGCACACTGCAAACTCCCAAAGTGAAGGCTCAACTTTAGACCCTGACGCCTAGCCACCCTTCTGAAGAGCGCGAGGATGAAGATCTTGCTAAAACGAAGCTAGGAATCGGCTGAAATCTCGTAGTCCCGAGACTGAACACCCTCAAACAAAAGCGGATTCCCTGCCCTTTCCACGTGAGTAGTTGTCAAAATTATGGTCCCTTTTGTGGGTACCCTAAACATTAAGTGCCGTATTATAATAAGGACCCAAAAAGGGACCATAGTTTTGACCACCACCCACGTAGATCCGAAGATCATGAAGTGTGTCGGTGTTTCCTGAGCCCTGCTGCCCTTCTGGCGAGGCTTCTCACGAGCCTGGGATGCTCCTAGTCTGAGAGGAGGCGAATGGCTTTGGAGATGTCTAGAGTGCGATATGGGAGTTTCCGAAAACAGGGGTACCTTATTTTGGGACCCATATATACTAAGGATCCTACTAGTCTGAGACGAGGCGAATGGGTTTGGAGATGTCTAGCTAGGTTCCTGAGTAGTGCCCTTTTGCCCTTTTTAGTTTAGGGTCCCCTTATTAAAACCGAATAGTAGGAAAAAGGGTAGCCTTATTATAAAGGGGTTACTCAGAAACCTAGCTAGAGTGCGATATAGGGTTTAGGGCTGACAACTGGAGGTCAGCTCGGGATGAGGTGAATGGCTACGCAGTTGCTTCAGCTTTCGGTACTACTGTATTAGTTCCAGGTGTTTAGGGCTGAGGGCTTGGAGTTTAGTTACGAGGCCCCCTGCGAGATTTCGAGTCACAAGGATTCCCAGACTCAGTCGAAGATCAACTCAGATGCGATGATGCCCAATATCATGATGTATGAAGTTGCCTCGGTATACTGGAGGGACTGGATCCTGGTTTAAGGAAGCATGAACAGGGGCAAGCAACCATACATTATCTAGTCTGTCTAGCTGCTGCCTTCTCTGGATTATGCGGCTCGTTTTCAGTGTCGGGATACAGCAGAGCAGCTTTATACTTGACGCGGGCCGCATGCTGTTGGACATCACCCGGCTGAGAGATGTGAACCCCCCCTCAACCATACACCTCACCACAGACCTACACGCCCCGCCCGAAGCCGAACCTTACAGAACCTTCAAACTAAATCAACCTCGAGTTCTAGAGCTATCCCGTAAGTCATGATACTACGGCTGATGATATATTTCCTGCATTAAATTATCTTAATGATCCGAACATATGGGGCTTATAGTCTATATCTTATTATGAGTAATGCAGGGTTTATATCCTCAACAGTAGTATAGTAAAGCCCAGAAAGTTGGAATATGATTCTCCTAAACCCTTTATGGTAAATTATAAGGTATCCTACCCTGAAACCATCTTCCAACTTTCGGGAGTTCCCTTTTGCCCCTTTTAGTTTAGGGTCCCCTTATTAAAACCGAATAGTAGGAAAAAGGGTAGCCTTATTATAAGGGGGTTACTCAGAAACCTAGGTAGTATGACACGCCAGGAAGCAAAGACACCCAAGATGGATCCTGCCACTCCAACAAAGCCGGTAGGGTTTAGGGTTTAGGTTTTAGGGTTTAGGTTTTAGGGTTTTAGGGTTTAGGGTTTAGGTTTAGGGTTTAGGGTTTAGGGTTTTCCCTAACACCAAAACTAGTTTTGGTGGCTAAAGTAAATAATAGTACTATATATGGACATTCTTGGACCCTAGCACCCGAGCACCCTAAACCCTAAACCGAAGCAGCACTGTGCCTTGTTGCCAGGCAGCGCTGCCTCGGTATCGCTTGAGACGAAGGGGGATTCTTACACACAATAGAGAAGCTTAAACAATCACCAGTGTTATTCCTTAGCGTGCATATTAGAGTTCCTAAATGTTGCTATTATGGTAGTTACTATACTCCAAAAACCTGTTCCAAAGGCCCACGCATTAGCCATATTCGGCTGAATCTTGGCACCTTATAGGGTTTAGCTAGACATGTACGAGTTGTTTGTTGGGCGTTCCTTTTGAATAGATCTAACGAAAGATTTAGAGTAGGGTCCTTGATCGTAATCTCGCCTTGCGCTCCCTGCAGAATGTCCTTTTTAGCCTAGATAAGAACCCTAAACCCTAAACCTTGAACCCTAGACCCTAAACCCTAGCCTAATGTACTTGGAGGGTCGGGGGACTTAGTAACTGGTTATTTTAGGGACTTATAAGTACCATAATCCCAATTAGGGTCCCTTTTAGGGTACTTATAAGTCTACTTACTAAGTCCCCCGACCCTCCAATTTAGTAGCTCCTTGGAACTCAAGGAGTCATAAAAGGGGCTCGTGGAGCTGCGCGCTACTTCGAGATGAGTCTGGTACTGTAGGAGCTGATTAAGAAACCCTGGGCCTAAGGGTTCCTCCTTTAAAAGGGTTTATAAGGGTTACTACAAGGGATCCATAAGGGTACTCTCATAATGTAGGGACCTGATCAAGAAAAACTGGGCCTATAACCCCAAAGTAGTAGGATTCAAAAGGAAACCCAATAAAGCATTAAATAGATGTGCGTTGGAGCCTGATGAACCAATAACGTTGAAGCCTGATAACTACTAATACAGTTCCTATCGGTTCCTTAATACAGATAGACTGGTGCACTATGATATGTCCCAGGACCCTATTCTAGTAGGTAAGGTCCCTATGTTATTTCTGTATTAAGACTCGGGATTTATAGGGTTCAGAACGACCCCCGAGCTTTGCGACTGGTGTTGCCGTTGGGCACGGCACCGGCAAGAGCTTAGCCAAGACCCGCTCCATGATGCGGCCGGGCAAAAATGGACAGTGCAGCAATGGGTTTTGTGTTTCACCTTACCTGCGAAATCCCTAAGCGGCCGTACACTACAGGGAAGCGGCAGAAGAAGTTGGAGTTTACTACAAGACCGATGCCTGAAATAAGCGCTCCTGAAGCAGCATCATACCGAGTCCTGCAGTGCTACACCCTTAAATGGATGCCTCCGTTCCGCACCAAGCTCATGATCTACGCAGCTTCGAACAAACCCTTCATATCCCGAAGCTACCACCACCCTGACTCCTCAAGATCAACGTCCAACACTGGTCCAGCACCACAAGGTTGGCACGTTGGCCTCAGCCTTTGCAAGCATCGAAGATGTTTGCAAGGACGGGTTCGGCGGGCTCGATTTTGTGGCGTGTGGGTTTAGGGGTCTGGCACTGTCGAGAATACCTATAGTCTCCATTGTAGTTCCTTTTTTGGATTAACAAGCTTTATGGTTAGGATCCTATAATCCAGTTTTGGGTTAACCAAAAAAAGGAACTACAAAGGAGACTACAGGTAGGGTCCAGGAATGAGGGTGCAGGGGGCTTGAGGGTATTAAGGATTTGAGGGTTTAGGGATTAGGGTTTAGGGTTTAGGGTTCAGGGTTTAGGGTTTAGGGATTAGGGTTTAGCCTTAGCAGGGATTGAGGTTCACTGGTTTCGTCTTTCCGGTTAGCACGTAAACCCTAGAACCATAACCTGGGTTTGGAGTACCATACTTGAACTCTTTTTTCGGTACCTGCTCCTCAAAGGAACCATTATGAAGTAAAAGTCTATACCTAGACCCTCAAAAGAAGGTAAAATAATGGCCCAAGACCTATAAACGGCGATTATTCTACATACTTTGGGGGTCCAGGTACGTGTTTCTCCCCGGTTACTTCAAAGTCCAGAATAACCCCAAGGGTCCAAAGGACCCAATAATTAGGTACTTAGGTTTCGGATAGTAGTTATGTAGGTTACCATTTTGGAGAGTATATGATGATTAGGTACTTGGACCCATAGGGTAAGGTTTACAGAAGCCTCAGCTTCTGGAGTTGCTCAGGCCCAGGATGACGTACGGTTGATGATACAAATCCTAGGGTTCCTGTAAAGGGATCGATAAGGGTACCTTTAAGGGATCTATAGGGTTTTCAGGGTTTAGGATGATACAAACCCTGCATTACTCATAACAAGGAATATACCACAATTCCCATAATTTAGGGTCCTTAAGGTAATGCAGGGTTTATATCATCAACAGCAGTCCCATGTGGGGTTTTTGGGTTTCGAGCTTATGGGTTGAATTTCAAGGGTCTGGCGTCAGCTTCTGTAAAGCCTAAGCCCCCAAGAGACCCTAAACCCGAATCCACCAAACCCTACAGTAACCCTAAACCTCGAAACCCCAAACCCTAACCATAAACCCCTAAACGCCTAAACCCTATACCCCTAAACCCCTAAACCCCTACACCCTAAACCCTAAACCTTTGACCCTAAATCCTATACCCCTAAACCTCTAAACCCTAAATCCCAAACCCTGAAAAGCTGCGAGGACGAATACCGTACTCGGAACCACGCCATCGCTCCCAACCGGCGAGAGCCAACCTGGGGAATGTACCCTTGCCAGGGAAGTTGCTTAGGGCTTAAAGCCAGAAAGTTGGAATATCATTATCCTAAACCCTTTATGGTAAATTAGAGGGTATCCTACCCTGAAACCATATTCCAACTTTCTGGAGTTCCCGTTATAGTGTTTGGGGTTCAGGGTTCATAGGGCTTTGGGTATTGGGTTTATAGGGTTTAGGGTTCTTTCAAGGGCGGCAGAAGTCGGTCGGTTTTCTTTTATGTTTCTAATTTCAAAAAGGGGTTGAAGTTTCTTGCTTGTTTCTCAAAAACAGGGCGAGACATGCAGGATCTATGGGGTCAAGGGTTTGGGGTTTAGGCCTTGGGTGGGAGATGGGCTCTTGTCCTGATGTTATCTAAGGTCTCCTTAGGATTTTTTGTTTCTGTTCATATAGAACCAAAGAAAATATTAAGCATACTATTTTGTATCATGATTCTTAAGGGGGGTATAGTTATGGATATGGCCAGCATTGCAGCACCCCCTTATGCCACAGCGAACAACGCTTCACATTTTATCGTGCTAGCGGGCGCCGCAGCACGAACTCACAAGCATGTAGCATTGAGGAGGTTGCTGTGAAATTAAGGCTTAAATCTACCTTGAAGTAGACAAGGTCGAAGTTCGGCTTGGGGAATGTGGTGTTGATATACACCCGACAACATACACCCCTACAAGCCTGCGATGAAGGTTTGAATATGAAACTCCCTTCTTGTCCTCATCCCGTTACACTACATTCTCCCCCCAGACTTGGTTCAAGCATTAAAGCCGCTGCATTGCTTAGTCGCAGCCTTCGGGGGATCGTCAACAGTGCTTGAATAGCGGACTGGTGACAGCTACAAATCCAACAATCAAGAGGATGTTCTTGACTAGCCAGGGTTTAGGAGTTTAGGATTTAGGGCCTGGGCTCTTCGTATGACTACCCGCATGGTATTTCGTAAGTTGAATCTAGTTGTCGCCAGAACTGTGCAGTAGTCTACTGTTGCATTAACAGCGCTTGTGGT